TCGTTTGTTAATATGATATAATAGTTTCAAATATTATTGTAACATTTTTAACAAACAGAAATAGGTAATACACATAATGAAACAGGCTTACATTTTTGTACACATGAGTACATGCTTTCATTTAGACACATGTACATCAACAGCAGTTATACATGCACAAAAGTAGAGAATCTGCACTCTGATTCATGTGAAATCATCCTACGAATTTTAGTGTTCTTTTATGTGAACAACATCAGTAATTTTTATTCTTTTAGGAGGGCAAGCCATATTTTATAAATGGAAGAAATAAAACTAATACTACATACAATCCAACAGATTCATTTAAGTTATATAATCACTATGATTAAGATGTATGCTATTAACAGATACTTCTGAATGCCACCTACGTAGGTCACTTATCTCCATTAGCCGAAAGACAACTATCTGATTTGTTTGAAACTGAGATTATCATAAGTACATACATATTTCAAAGACTAATTCCTGAAGTTAAGAACTGTCGTTCTTTCATTAACAATTCATACCTAACACTACCCTTTATGTAAAAAAATTCTGACTCATCTTCCACTTTGCTAGAAAGACAATATGTATTTTGAGCTCTCAGGCACTTTCGAAGACATTATTTTCTACCTTCTTCACTTCTACATGTGTGATTCTCACGATTTTAAAACCCTTATTTTTGTTATTGTCAGCTCTTCATTTTCATTCATTTCTATAAATATTGGAAGAGAGTATGTTTTCAGAATAGAATTTCATGTAGCTAATTGTCTTCGAAAACGTTTATCGACTCGATTCAACAGTCATAGGGTAGTGCCACCTATCAAATTATCCACAACAGAAAACTGAGAGAAGTTTTCGAGTTGAAGACAAGGGTAAGACAAGGATGCCTACAATCACAGATGATTTTCCTGATCATGGTGGATTAGATAATCCAGGAGACCATGGAGAGCAAGAAGACAGGAATACTCTGAACCTTTAGAAGGACTCTAACATATCTGGATTTCGCGTATGATTTAAGTCTGGTGTTACACAAAATCATGGATCAACAGGCAAAAACCAACAAATTGGAAGAAAAAGCAGGTAGCGAAGAAAGGATTTCAAGTGAACATAGAGAGGACGAAGGTGATGAAGATAACTAACCAACCAATCGACAGCAACAACCGATATGAATAAGTATCAGTGGGAGAAACTTGAAAGAGTTCAGTTCCTTCACTTATCTACGCATTACCGCTTCAACTGCAAAAGGCATAGATAAGGATGTTGAAACCACTCAGGATCGGAAAGGCAAGACAGCTCTTCATCATTGAAATCAGTTTGGAAATCAACTGGTATCACCATGAAGAAGGAAATTCGGATCTTCAATACAAGTGTTAAGTCAGTTCTTCTATATGAGTCAGAAAATCAACGCGTCACGAAAAGCATTCCCAACAGGCTGCATAATTGCATCAACAGCTGCCTTCACTCCATACTGAAAATCACAGAATAAGAAAGGATTAGCAACAAGAAACTCTGGGGACGAGTTAACCAAGAACCTATTGCTCAACAAATGTGTAGAAGAAAATGCAGATGGACTAGACACACGCTGAGTAGACCGTTGAGTGACACCACAAGCCAGGCCCTCTGGTGGAACTCGAACGGGAAACGATGAGTGAAACGGAGGTTGTATGAGGGGGGATAATTGTTTATGTTCATTCGTGGGCCCAGCTAAATAGGACTACAGAAAACAGGATAAAAGGGAGATTCTGCAGCTGGGAACACAACAGAATAGTAATAACAATAATTTTCGTATTCGATACAGCCCGTATGAAGCGTTGTGAGATAGTACAACACCCAGGTTTGTCGCAAACAATATATTGTGTCTGAAAATTAGTCTGCTTTTCTAAATCACCTTATAATTGTGTCCTATATATCCTCAAACTTACTGAGCATACAATTCATTTCATTTTATACAATTTCGTCTTGGATTCAAACTATACTGCAGGTATAACCGAATTTGTTAAACGAAAGGTATTTTTTCAAAGTGAGTAACTACGGGATGTGGCTTGGTTACATAGGACCTTTTGAATGAAAAATATATAGTAGAGGGGGCTGTTTAATGCGCCTTCGTTGTCTTGTATGTACTTCTTCATCCCAAGTGTAACGGATATGCAGGTAGTTCCTATCGCTCACTAGATATCCAACTACACATATGACAAGAATAGAAATAACACAGCACAAAGTTATTTAGTCAGAGCAACAGGAACAAAATTCGCAGTAAAATAATTTGCACATGTCATTTCGAGACTTCTCTTGAACTGCAGAAAGGCTAAAATATAGATAGTATCATCAAAATAAGAACACAAATTTCTTAACCTTTTAGAAAAAGATTGGCATGAAGATCATTGTATAGGGAGGCAATAAGGGATGATCTACATGCTAATAGGATAAAAAATGCGTGTTCTTACTTAGTAAATATTATCTATGTTTTAGGCTTTCTGCAGTTGAAGAGAAGCCTCGAAGAAATATGTGCGCATTTTATACCACGAATTTTGTTCTTCATGCTTCGGCGGAGATGGTGAAGGCAATACGATGTACTAAGTTTATTTGTGAAGTGAACTGTTTCTATGGATTAATGTGTTGTTGAATACGGCCAAAGACAATAATTGATAACCGTCACCTCAGATTACCAGTTGACTCAAAATGCATATATATATTGTTCCCATGAGGCCTGTCTCTTTACGGTCTTCACATCACAGGATCACAATGTGTGTCGAAGTAACCTGCTGGTTGCTTTATATTTGTATTAAGAGTAAATCACCTGAGCTTAGTACAAACCTTAGATAAGTAAAATTAGGGCTATCTAACATCAACACTATCTGTTTTGCCTACAAAATGAACACTGACGGTTACTTAATACGTACACAACCGATGGTTTGACCAAGTTATTAGCAGACAAATAAATGCATATGATGAACTATTCCAACTGAAATTCTACACCGCCTACTTTGTTCACCTTGTTGTGTGTTGGTCTATTTGCATGTACAAGCATGCATACATGTTAAAAACAAATATTCTCTGTTTGAATTTACAAATTAGATAACAAAAAGAGTACACAAAGTCAACCTATCAGAAAGAATGATTAAAAAAATATCTGGTATCTAACAGACAAAGACGTGTACACGACAATAAAGTTGTAATGAAGTGATACAGTCTTGGAAACATCACAAAAAATTTCGTTTGTTGTGATGACTCTCTATATGTACTTAAACTGGTCCATATTTAGCACACGAGTCTGATAAAATTGTAAATGGATATTATATAGAGTTACATATAATATATGAGTAGAGCAAATGAAATATAAATAATCATTTGTCTTAAAGTCTCTTAATGACTTGAGTTAATTATGATAATTGTTCTATATGAATGCGTTTAAGATGAAATAGAAATGTAGTCTGATAGTTGTATTCAAACTACTTATATAAATAAGTAGTTTGTCTTAGGCGAACAAATTTAAATCTGACCAACATGAAAATAAACTTGAGTAGGTTTTAGGTAACGAGTTCAGTGAAACAAGAGAACATTAAATCTACTGCTATTAAATAAACGATAACACGGTCGTCTACACGAGAAGTTCACTTGAATGAAAATCCCAAAATGCATAGTTGAGGAAAGAGTTCAAAATAATTTGATTCCACCAGAAACTCAGTTAATACAATCGAATTCATTCAGAATTGTTCCGTTACTTGGTGCAAAACCTTATCATTCATGTCTGTTATCAGTAGTAACCTGTAACATTTTCGTTTAAAAGTACCAGTTACATCAATCAGTTTCTCCAAGTAATTCATTTCATTAATTTCATACATTTATTCCCCTTAATGGTGATGTAATGTATGATCACATGTTGAAAGTTTTTTGTTACATTTCACCATCACCACATTCTGTGATAAAATGGTAAAATAGTGATTTATGGACTCTGTAAGGTACTCACTGTAGAAATCGCAAGTGAAAAGCTACTGATATCAGATTACTCAAAATGGAAATATAAAGCACTTAGAATACTTATAGATGAACTGGTTTAATTATAATAAGGGTTTTTTGTGTTTCCCAATGAATGAAAAACAAAACGATATTGTTTTTACTGACATTTCGCTATTTATTGCTAATAGCGTTATCAAAGTATTGAACTCGTTTAATGTCTGAAGTTGAATGGTGGATGGTGACTAGCAGTGGAATCCAGAATGCACATTTCGTTCTATTTGGTACTCGCCAGCTGGATGTACCTTCATTCTGCAGTGAGTGATGACGTTCCCACCGAAGCTCAAAGTTGTCTAAATAAAGGGAAATTTATAATGTAAACAAATAGCCTTTGTCTTTTATCACTGACTACAGACACCTGACTGAGAGAAAAATTACATCGTTCAAAGGTTTCAGTCTTCTCAGCAGAAACTACTTGATAATGATTAGATATTATATCCCTAGTGATGGAACAAGAAAAGAAAGGAACTAAATAAATGTCAATTATTCTGGCCTGTTCATGACATATAGCAGCTTCTAGATTATGCCAGTTATCTGATTGTACTCTGGTGTGTACTGCAACTCAGAAGCAGCATGTAGTAGAATATTCTCGGTTTAAATCAAAGGAGATATAGGCTTAGTAGAAAAGTTCTTGAAATAAATAGAGCAAGTAGTTTCAAAATGTACTTTAAAGAAAACACATGCATTCTCTGCATAAGATCGCAATTTTTTAACAGTCATGAAAGTAATTTCACAAGATGAACAACTGTGAAACTAACAGGCTGTCTCCATTCTCATCGGTATAACTTAGATGAATTCGAATATACCACTGACAGTCAGTCCTATTACATGTAAAGGGAAGTAAATTGCAGATAGAATGTAAAACAATTCAAGTTTTTTTTTATGTTTTACTTGTATCTATCTGAAGAATTAATTTACCACTATGGTTATTATACTTCTAAGTATTGGCTGAGTTTAAGTCATTTATTTTTCTCTCTTCCTTTTAATAGAACTGGTTGAAGCTTGACAAACGCATAGCTAAACAAGTGGAAAGTAAGTCAACGTGAACTATTTTTTATTTTTAAATTATGATATATAATTTGGTATAAGCTGCGTTCAGAATAGCTGGTTAATACTGCTTTGTAACTACCTTGAAATTTTGCAAGACGATAAGATACCTAGTAGAAAACATAAAGATAGTAAAATTTTCACACTGGTCTATTCTGACAAAGAGTTGGGAGGAAGTTTTATAGCGATCAAAACCCATCCGTTATGATCTGAATGTAGAAAAGCGTATATATTGTTGTATAACTGGCAAAACTTACTTTAGACACGTGCAGTCATGAAACGCTCCAAAGATAAGAAAAATACAACTGTTCTGGAATAATGTTTCGATTTTTTGCTAAAAAACGATAACATCAAAAACTCAAAGTCATCTCAACAGTGCCGTTAGGCAGCAATTCAGTGCAGCCTAGGTACAAAAGGAACATTTAGAAACAAGTAAAATATCTCCCAAAAAGTGGGATCAAAAACTCTGTTTACAATAATCACACACCAACGCTTCCTGAGGGCAGTCGGAGGTTAGAAATGACCTTAATTCCATCGAATATAATCACATCATTCAATACATTGTCAATAAATACACAACCACAAAGAGAAGGATTACAACTGGTAATTGAACAAGTGCGAAGACAAACAATGAAGATCAAATCAATATGTGATATACAAATGTCAAAATAATGATATACAGTCTAGAAGAGAAATAGATAATAATTACAAAGTCAGCTGCAACGTTCAGATAAGTACAAATATTGTGATTAAGTCGTCCAGGTGGGATTTTCCAAATAATTTTACCGTTCCAAGTTTATTTATTACAATAAATTAATCTAATGCACAATATCAATAAAAAAGGCTCCACGAGAAGTGTTTTTTTAAATGTTTCACAAATTATGCTCATTATCAAACACATTTGGTTTCTCAAATTCCTAATGCTCACACTAAAGATTAGTGAAACTATTGATAAATACCTAACTGGTTAATTTCGCAACTGGTGACCTTTAAACACTGTAATTATATTTACAATATGGGAATAGTGTGACTTATAGGACGATACCTAGATAACTAAACGTTATGATATTTCGGAAAAATTTCAATTAGAAGTAAGAGATATTTTTGACACACATGTTTCCACACTTCATTGTTACTGAGTTGAAAATAGCCTAAAGGTCTCCCCAAAAATGTTGCGCGGATGAAAGCAAGTTGTCAGTACTTTCAGCCTGTCATGAAATGTACATGCTTTGTACTTTGCTTGTTTCGTACTTTGGAAATTCTTGTTTATATTCATCTTTATAAGCAGTGTTAAGACTGACTGTGTTTATGAGAAGAGGGGATGCGAAACTAACACTACCAAAAGGCACAGATTTAAGTAATGGTTTTCCTAGCATTGATAGATTCCGATCTTTGGATCTAAGCTCGTTAAAGTGTAATTTTCTTTCAGTGATGCCTTTGACGGATATCATAATCTAGTGGGAGACGCTGAACGTGACCAAACCGTTAAGACTATATGAAGATTGGTAGAGTGAATTTTTTCTGTTCTTCAAGTAAAGCAAATCCAAATTATATCAACATTACGTGATGAAACATTTTCAAGAGTTTTGTTTGTAAGGATTAAATTTGCTTTTACGAGTTTGACCACGGATTGATATCAGTTTGAGAACCACTGAAAACCAGGCAGTACTGGACAGCTGTTTGATCCTAGTTTGGGAACCATCGTTTAGTTAGCTCGGAAGGTCCTGGGTTCCATCCCCAGTGGGTGCGTACTGCCGATGATTCCCAAACTAGATGAAACAGCTGTCCAATACTCTCTGGTTTTCAATAGTTCTGTAACTGATATCAACCCGTGGTCAGACTCGTAATGAAAGATGTCTTGCTTAACATTAATATAGTCTAATGCCACATAATACTAGTCGTTATGGATGGTTAGATTAGTGACTGTTTTTTCTAATAATACTAAGCTAAAATCATCTTATTCAGTTGCTAAGATAACCTTTTTGCCATCAATAATTACTGAGTTGGGTGACTATAATAAGATTCAGTCAATCTTGATTAATTCTGAAATCCCAAAATAAAGTGAATCGCATTGGCTTTCTGGTATTTCGGTGACATGTAATTTACTGAATGAAACTGAGATTTTGACAGGTTTGGTTAGTTTACAGTAGAAATAAAGTATAAAGGATACATTATTGAAAAATAAGATTGAGAAGTTTTAAAACGTCCACTAGGGTTTAATTAGACTCGATCATCTTATGTACTTATAGGTGAGCGAAAAGTTCTGGTTTTGAACTTATAAAACTGACGACTGAGGGAATTCAAAAATTGTGCTGACGTAAATACATGAACACTTTTAGATATTCTATTGGAAAAGGCATATGCATATGTGTAAACGGGAGGGCACCACTTAGGGAACAGTGCAAAACAATTAATTTCAGTTTGTCTGCTATCATTTTTCAAGCATGATGGTTTTCTTCTGAACATGCCTCAGGTGTCCATTCTTCGACATTGAGTTAGACAGAGACTATGCATGTAGTATCTTTGATCTCATCACAGATTTTGTATGTCACTTGTTACTGAATTTATCCTTGCAATCAGCATTTAATTAGCTCACTTGACAAACCATATTTTAAGCGTTTGAGGTGGATTGATAAAAATGGTGACTGATAGATAAACGTTTGGTGTTGATAGCACTAGCCACTTTTTTTGCCGAACAATTTAACTAGGATGATCAGTGTCAAAAGTTTACAAAACAAACCCATTCAGTATTGTAGAATACATTAAGTGTGCATAACGTAGGTGGAACTGAAAGCAAATGAAACAGTTTTTATGACAACGACTTTCTGCCAAATACAAACCAAAATTTTATAGACACTATGACTTCACCGAAGAATTTATGATCAGCACACTTGAAACTCAAAAAGCTACATTAGTTGACTCACAATAAAAAAACAGGGAATTTGTGGTAAGATTTCAGAATCAAAGACTGAATGACTAGAAATTAAATCTAGAATGGAACATTAGTTTTACCGAAATTCCCAAAACTCATTTCTGATTACTGAGAAGAAAAACCAATCTTCGATTTCCATTCGCATTGTTGTACGTAGCAGAATCGTGTAAATAAGATGAACCTATTTGAGCCATAGATTTCCTTCAATTGGGTTAACACATGACAACTGCATATATGATAATCTGGTGATAATTTGTTTGCACGATGATACAAAACATTTTAGCTGGTATAAAGCTCTGTATGTATGTGTGTAAGCATGTGAGTTCACGTTAGACGTGCTACGCATCAGTAAATAAAATCATAAATGAACTTGGGTTTTTTGATGAATAATAGTTTTTCGATTCCGCTGAATATTCCACTTAATTTCTTATTTATTGTTCAAATAGAAGTACCATGGAAATTGGAATTTCGTGTACGTTTCTACCCGCCAAATATAGATGAATTCAAAGACGATTTAACCCGCTACTTTTTTTGTTTACAATTAAGGCAGGATATTATCTCTGGACAGTAAGTAAAGTAGTTTTTAACCGCTGCTAACTCACCTTTTAATAAGCCAATGAATTCTGTATTTTCAATCATTCCGACCACTGAATTGTAAACAACCAAGTAAACAGGAATCAAGTATGCGGCGCGAATACTACTATTTCAGAGAAAAACATTTATTCTTTTTTCATGCTCAACAGTGTTTTAGCCCAAACTGCAGCGGATCCTGAGACACCTCTTGTTGATTTCACACTTGATCTCTTAATAATATACTGACTGTTGGGTGTCTTTGTTCACTACAGTGAAACTGAAAATTTCTGCACATTTTCTTCTACAGGACATAAAATAATTCTGAATTATAATAAAATATCAAACAGCCTTTTTCCCTGAAAACTGTTAACGAATATTTGCATCTCCTTAATTTGAAGCAACGATTTCACATTTTGATGTCTAACAGTATACGCAGTGAAAACAAAAAAATGAGTAAGAACAAACATTTGATGATATTAGTTGGAGGCAATCGGCAGGACGCCTTGGATCTTGCACCAAAGATAGCACTAGACACACCACACTAGTTACTAGTGTCCAATGAAGAATTGGACCTTCACGGAATACTACATGTTAGTTCTATCTGTAGAGACTTTATGATTCACAAATAAATTTAAGCTGACACATATATACGTCCGTTCAAAGTCATGATCAAAACTGCTTTTGCGAAATTAGGCAAAACAGAAACTATTTAAGGAATATCCTTCCTTTTTGCATCATTACGATTTAGCGCTCTTCCAAAACGAACATCCTTAGTAGTCTGAAATTAGTTACAGGAATATACCTAGTTTCACATACAACCAAACTGTGTATGCAAGCAAAAATTTAGAAAATTCGTTTCCGCTTTTAAAAATACTCGATTTGTAACAGCATAAGGCAAGACAGGGAAGCCGAGGTATATTTTTCATTAATCAAACCGCTGTTTATATATCTACAGTCTATATGCTTTAACCAACCACTGAGCGTCTAATTTTTTCCCCTTCACGTTTCCCAGTGGAACATATGGCTCCAAGCTACTGGCTTGAAGTTTCTGTAGCAGTATCTATTTTATTAAATGGCTTAGCGAGGTAAAGGAGTGAGTCGGCCGGGGATCTAACCCCGGACCATGTGCATGGTCGGCGAGCGTCCTAGTTGCTATGCCACCGACGCCGAGCGTTTAACTTTAGTTTTCATTAAACGAAATGAAAAGGTTTGTTCAAATATATATAGTATTCTGTTGCTAACTCAGTACTGAACTGTGGGAATATCTGAGAATCATATTCCGTTGGCACACATTATCTGTATCACACTATCATAGATTTACGTACTTTTGATAGCTTTACTGAGATGTGTCTTTTTTAATAGCAAAATATCTCTGATCACAGGGATTGAAAGTAAACATTTTGCTTGGGGTGATTGTGTTTTTGAATGTATTTACCCAAAAGCCTAAAAAAGTAAGCAAATCATACACTCTTACATAAGAACAGCACGAATTCAGCTTCACAAATTCTAAATTTCTTGCACATTTTGCTTTGATTAAAGTAACAGGGCATTAAGACTTGTGAACAATATACAAGAAAATTGTCTCAGTAGAATTTTATCGTGGTGTTTATGATGGATTAAATTCAGTATTTGACAATTCTGAAAAATTATCATAAAGGCTGATAGGAGTAGTGTAACAAACACTGATCATAATTAGACTTTACTTACCAGGAAAGTGATGTACATTCAGTTGAACTACAACGAATAGTGGAGATGATACACATCCACTTACTAAGCCTGGATTTAGAGACTGAATAACTTAATATATATTGAAGTTGAACACTACAAAACAGAAAGCCAGAAGTACCTAGTTTCTAGGAATATTTTGGTATGAATCTGCAGAATCTACCCCAAAATAATTTATTTAGTATCATAGGTGTAAATAAGTGATTACAATTGAACTGGTGGAAATATTAAAATCAATTTTGATTAAACTTCTCCACTGACTTCAGTATAACGCTGTAGTCTTAGAGATTTGGATCTGGTTAGAAGCTATGACTTCCTATGATAACTGGTGAGATTAAATTCTAGTTTCATTAACCTATAATTCTTTCAATTAATAATAATTGTAATAGCGTTATTCTTAACAATACTTCTGATAGTGTGGAGTTGGCAGCACAGAGTACAATACTACATCTAATGTACTATTCGTAATACATAGCTAGGGGCAAAACAGTTACCAAACTCCATGATGTTTACAGTAAGAACTAGTCAGCTAATTAACAGAAATGATGGGAAGCGTGGAAAGTGGTTTTTATTTACTACTGTAAAGTAAATAATACAGATGAGTGGAATAAGTTTTAGCTAGTTACAAATCCTTCTATCCATTAGCACATAGACTTTCATTTCACAAACAGAATTTATATTCTTGGCTACTTTTCCTGTTATTACCTGGTTTATGTAAGTGTCACTAACACACTGTCAAACTGCACCATCACTATGTTATACATCGAATTATTCCTTTATTCAGACTTCCATGTTCTCATCACACATATGTAATTCTTGGTGCTTATGTGGTACAGTCAGATGCTGGAGATTATGATCCTAACACCCATATTGGCACTGATTATATTGCCAATATTCCCTTCGCTCCACAACATTTACAAACATCAAAAATGCTTCAACAGATTGTTGAATTGCACAAACTTCACAAGTAAGTTCGCATCGCTTTTACTTCTAAACACTTTTTTATATAAAAAATCAAAACTAGAAGTTGCCTTTACTAGACATTTTAGTTTTGATTTTGAAGGAATTTTTAATTCATGACGATTTACAAATCTATTTATTTACATTACTTGATCAGTTAAAGTTTGCACTAACCTATGACAACTATGTAGTCAATACCTGTAGGTAAGAAAAACTTTATACACTTCTAACAGTAGACGAAATTTTGTGGGAAACATAGAGACTGACTATATGATGGTGGAGTTCTGTATATAACACGGTCTAACAGGTAGTAGTACAAAAACAATGACCTAAATGCAGAAAAGTTGTTTTATGTCACTAGATATTATTTCCTGCATCTGTAAATATAATAGTTCATGCTTTTAAGCCATCAGTAGAAGTGTGTTGGAAATCAAACCTTCTTATGTTATATCCCGAACTTAACTGAATCAATTACCTTATTACTGATCGTACTTAAAGGTGTTTTTAATCCGGCTAAGACTATATCTTCTTTTAAACGTGACGCAAAACTATGGAGATTAAAAATGACTGCATTAGCAATACGGACATAATACTGTTGACTCAAATCCTTCAGGTTTACTACCTTTAACGATTACAGGATGAAAACTCAACGGTTATCCTGTATTCTACGCTTCCACAACCACTAATCACGCTTTCGGACGAAACCACAAACTGTTAACATTTTCACAAAAACTGAATTAAACGTTCTATGAAAATGAAACTTTACTTACTATTCTTTTATAGAAAGGCAATCTATCGTACTCTCAAATAACAACAACACATCGAATTATAGAAAATACAGTAATTTATTTTCAGACTATACCAGCTAAAAGAGAAGAAACTGTCAATAAAAACAATCAAGAAACTAAGTAGAACATCTCTCTCTCTCTCGAAAACACCACACAAAGTGCCTAATGCAGTTTCAGAAAAATAATGGGCGTATATAAAATAAGAACCGGAAAGTAAATTGACACTAGGCTTTATTTAGTGTAAAAATTGAAATTATTCATTTACTAACTATAACTTTATCGTTTCTTACCAGCAGACCTAAAGAAAAATTTTCATAGAAAACTCAATATACATTAGTTCACTAATTCAGTTTTGTGATTAACGTGGAAAACACACAATTCCATTCCATTCCTTGGTTATAGTTCATAATCACGAAAGGCTTAAATTCAATAAAGATCCCTATCTATAAATGCATTGAGAAAATAAGTGTTATTACCCTCTACAGTCAGCTGGACTGCTTTTTTGTCAGTTCATCTGATTATACACGAGAATCGTACAATTATGAAAGATAACAATCAATCATTCACTGGAATTCCCCTAGAGATTTAATTTAAGAAATTAAATGAGAAACTGAAGCCTGACTTATTATCAACCGAGAATATGACGTTGTTCACAAAAGTGAAACTTTATTGCTTATTCTAAAGCTTTTTTTTCTTAGTAATGCGTATATGGTTTAATTTTAAGCTGCGTAGAAATCTAGGATTAACCGTCTGCTCGAAATTTAGGTTTTCAATCAAAACCTCTACATACCACAATCAGCAGAAAAGGATAGTTTATTTAGTTATATTTTAGTTAGATGTCTAAATGTGATTTCCTTCTGGAACCACACAATCTACAAATTTCTGTTACCTCTATGAACTCACAGTAGTACCAATACACATATTGCCTGATGGCAATTAGAATAGTTGTTATTCCATTTTCTCATCAATTACATTCCACAATACACTCTAGTACACCATACATGTGGCATTTCACTTCTATTTCAAAACACTGATGTTTCAGTGTAGAAGGAGTTGAATATTAAGAGGTTTAAAGGGTATCTTATTTATTGAGGAACCTTTTCGAACAAGCCCTGTCTACAGCAGATTCTTGAGTGGTCTATGGAGATAAGGTGTTTCAGAAACCTTAATAGTGCTGGTGTAGTGATATCATTTAGCCCACAAAATTGCCAGTAACCATTTTATTTTACCCCTAAAAGCTTTTCTAGAGCATTTTAATCCTTAATATATATACTGCCGACGTTATTTACTGCTAGGGCAATGATGATGGGTTCAATTTATGCTGTGTTATTGATGACAGGTATGGTATCTAAGATACCTTATTCATTAGTTTTAAAGAATCACATATATATACATGTGTATAATATATACGAATATATTACTCATGAAAAATCATCTACCCTGGCATAAATTTTCTTTAAACTTCCTGATTTTTTTTAGAGGACAAACTCTAGTTCAAGCTGACCGAGGGTTCTTGGAAAATGCTAGACGACTTTCACTGTATGGAGTTGAATTTCATAGAGCCAAGGTAAGTTGTGTTTTAAGATACTGTTAGTACGATTCTGTCATTCTTAAGCGGTTAGCAGCAAGGCTGATATTTTTGAAGTGTTATTTTTACTGTTTATGAACACTATGCAGGATAAAAATTCTCAGAATGGTTTGTAGATAAAATTTAGAATCCAAAAAATTATGAAAGAATACCAGTTCAAAACACAACAGTATGTGTGGAAGTAGACTTTCATCTTGGTTTTGTCACTGGTTAGGTTAGCGAGACGAGATATTTTAGCTTTAATTTACTAGTATCAGGCTTGAAGTTGTATATATCAGTTTAGATGCCTCTGTATACCAGTCCTTTAATGCATAGAGTTACCAAAAGTTTTGACAAACAACATTCTAACTGACTGACATAGTGTGAGTAACTTCATTAGACAAAAATACGTCAATCAGATTTACAAAACTGGCTGGCGTAACAGTTGATGATTGAAAGTGGACTGAAAATCTACGTTGCATCAGGATTAAAACCACTGACTTTGGAATAAGTGATTAGAATCTTACCATGACTAATTTTTTTTATTTTACCTTCAGTCATTGCTCAATATGAGTTTACATCTCAAGACTACCACAGCTGGCCGCACCATCAACCGCATTCATTATGTTAAGTAGATAAAAAACATGAATTGTTTATGCCAACGCAATTTACTTGAAATTTAATTGTTCTATGCTCACCAAAGGCTAATGTCATTACTTCATATTTTCCTTATTAAAATCCAGTACTAGCTTTGTTTTATTTTCATATCCATTCTGATCACAATGGCGAGAATTATTTCTGTATAAGAGCGATCTCATACCCACATCTGTTTATTAGCTTAGTTCCCGTATTTCTATGTGATTAATTTCTCCTTCTGATGACAGTATTCTATTTCCCAATTTCATTTAACAATAGTTGCATCTTTGATGGAGCAGCATATATTATTACAATGTGACTAAAGTCAGCATCATTGGTCTTTCAGTTAAACAAAATTGGGCTGCTTTCAAATAATAATTAAATAAGATGAGAAATAACCCCTTTAAATTTTTGTATATCGATTGATAGAGTCTTAAACCTGAAGAAATCTTCGAATTGGTTCATGTTAGCTTATGCTGAAAATTAAACATTAAATGAAACTGTTGAATACGTACTTTTGCCTTTAACTCTTTTGAGTTTACAGATCAGCATTTTGTATTGGAGCTTTTCACATCACAAAAATAGGAATAAAATATGAGCTCTGTTGGTTGTCATGCTGGAGAAATAACTTAAAAGAAAAACATGTTGAAATCCAGTTTAGTAAATGAAAAATCCCCATATTGAGATCAAAAGAAGATTTTGAGCGAACAGTTGTTTTCAATAACTTCTTCTTCAGGGTCTACAGTTATAAATCCATAAATAATAGAGTATATATAGCCAATAAAGGCAAATGAAAATAATATTAGAAACTGTATTGGGGTGTATGTGTAAGTTGAAATGATAGTCCATTAGTTAACATAGTCAATCAAATGTATATAGGGTGTTTAGTCAGAAAAAATGTGATGAAGTGTGAATGAACAGCTGGGTGATATAGTGTTGTTTAGTTAAATGTTAAAAAGCCTAGTGTTTGTTTAAAAACAGACAGCCCTCACACACACACATACTTAATCTAATGAATGCAGAATTTAGAAATAGACACTCTCTTTAAGATAGTTTATATTCCGCATTTAATAATATTTCTACAGTTATGCTTTGACTTGGCGGTATTAGATGGTTTCTTTTACTTGTTGTACGTGTGCCAATAATTTCTTTTTCCATCTTTACATTCATTTTCTAAAAAATATTCACAAAATATTTTCAAATCGAAATGTATCAGTTTCTTTCAAGAAGAGTTTTTCACTTGCATAGTATTCATCTGTCAACTGTCTACCGCCAGATCAAGCAAACATTAAATATTGAGTAGCCTACTAAACCGAAAAAATGCTGAAGTAAATAGAGCAATGAAATATTGGGTGACTAGAACAACTGGGTTATAAGTTATTTGCGGAAATGCATCGTATACTGTCTGGCCATTATGGTCAACAGTAGATATTGATTAACTTAGTTGCTATGACATCACACTAAATAGTATAGATGCTTTCTTCCACTTGCCGCTGGTATTTATGTTCTTAGAATGTAAATAAAATAAGGTCCTTCAGTATGTATATTTATTCATTAATTTATGTTAGTGCGTAGATATTTTATGAGTGGAAGATGACTTCCTTCTTAGGCTGTATATATTACTGAATATCACTATATCACTATTTCATAGGTTTGCTACGCATTTATTTGCTCATCCTTTTATATCCATTAATTTCAAAACATTTTACATTAGCATATTTAATCAGTCGACAAGCAGAAGAGTAAGGACAATAACTATTCTGTTCTAACTGGGTACTAGAACTGCTTCAGACTAGTAAAATCCGTTATTTTAAAGTATCCCACTATGAAACTACTGGTATAGAATCCAACAGCAAACATTTTTACTTAGCAGTAAGTAGTTCATCTCTATAAATAATCAGTGTATACCACTATCAGCTTTCATCTTCCGCTGTATGTATCTCTGACATTTTAGTTGCTTTTTTGTTTGTAAAAAATATAAAAGGCTTTTATTTCAGAATACCAGTAAAGTAATAATGAAACTGATTACAACCGGGCTGTCTATAGTTTCCCTGGCTTCTAGCAAAAGACCTTTACCTTTGATGTCCTTTGTTGACATATCCTTATCCTTGGATATTGTAGTCATAACAACCAGAAATACGTAACAGACAAAAATTGCTGGAAAAGTGTTCTAGCATAGAGCAGCAGTTGTAATTTCTAAGTTAGTTAATTAAAAAATGAAATGAATGCAAGGATTGTAGGTGGTGAGCTAAAATACTTTCTGACATATTAGGGATAGGCAACCTGAAGAGACAGATAACTTGTGTCACCTTTTGTAGACTTTTAAATTGTATTATTATGACAGTGAGCAAGAAATTAGTTCACATTCCTTTTTTATATACTTAATAGACAAATACTGGTGAAAGTGTATGTCTGGGTGTATATCACGGTGGAATATTATTATATCATGGTATGCTACGCATGAACCGATTTCTCTGGCCACAAATTGTAAAATTATTATATAAATCAAAAAATTTCATTTTGGTCGTCAGATCAATGAGCAAAGAAACACTGAGTAAACGCGGGACATTAAGAAGGACTTTTTCACCTGTTGGTTTGAAAGGATCTGACAGAAGAGCAAGCAGTTCAGAGGACACAGGTCATGATGTCACATTAACGTTCCAATGCACTGATGCACGTCTAGCCAAAAGACTATGGGATTCTTGCACCACACAACATTCCTTCTTCCGGTAAGTGTGAAAGGATATTTTTCCGTCACTGCGCATCTTCCTGCTTCAAGTTGTCGTCAGCTGAGCAAATGTTTCCTGTAATTTCATTTTATCATGATATGTCACCTCTTTTTAAAGATGCTGAGATTTTCTAATACGTAAGGATCACCTTTAATCAAGTGTCTTACGATCATTCTTCGAAGCAGATGATAAATAAATAAGAACACTTTATTCTTTAATACTAGATACCTATCGTGACCCCCTAAAATGGTTAGGTACTGATGATACAAATTTATCAGTGTTGGAGAAAGATTGATAAAAACAAACATTAAGTAGTGAGTAAGTTAAAGAAGCAATGAATCATAAGCGATGGGTAAAAAAAAACAACGAAAGCAAACACAGATAATTCAGAAAAAAAGAAATCAAACAAAAAATACATTTCCAAACTTGACGTAGGAAGAGTTACTGTATTCTAGTCCAAGGTTCTATGGATCTGATTTGAAAAATCTTAGTTTTTTCAGCCTTTAGTAAGCCACTGAGTTACCGCACTAAGTGAAATGTTCTTCTCTCTTATTCTTGGTAAAAATGCCTAAATGTGAATTTCACGACATATCATCGGGAAGTTGCATTTTAGTCCAGAGTATTGAAATATTTTGGCTTGGTAGACATCATATCTATTTCTTTTGCTTCAGCTTAAATTGAATAGAATAATGAATGGTACGCAGTTTTGTTATCACTGTGATCAATTACAACTAGAAAAACCAACTCACATTATGTGATAACAGTATATTCTGTTTTCATCAAACAAGTACAGGAGTATAACTCCATTATGGATAAGATTTTATTTTGATAAATCACACAGTGTTGTACAGTAATATTAACTGATGACCATGTTTCGAGCACAAACTATTATTGCTCATAATCATATCAATTTATATAACATTTTTCCTTCATTCATATACATGTGTGGAATCGATTATATATTGGAATATTCTGCTTCAGTTGACAATGTGTCGTAGATTTTTTCCTTTGTCCTTTCTAGCACTCTTCTTCACTTCTTTATCTAGTGCAGTGGATATTGAACTCATATTCTCCTTCTGTTGCCCATCCTCGCATTGGGTCATCTCTTTCACCATCCTTCTCTCCTCTCCTCTTCCCTCCTCCATTAGCTTCCAGGCAGATGTCCATAGAGAGCCATTCCTTTCTTCTTAAAACGCTTGTACATGTTTCCTTAAATATCACCTCCAGAGAGTTCCAGTGTTCCTCCACACAGGTATCCCCGTTGGTAACACGTAGCATCTTCGAATTCGATCTGATATGATCTGTGATAAAGGCATCCATTATGGTTTTGACCTTCAGTTTCTGAGTATCGAACGTGAATTGTGGTCTGTTTCGAGTCGTTCTGAAAGATTTCAGCTTGACCTCGGAGATTCCTTGAACTAGATGGTGGTCTGAGGCCGCCCACATCTGCTTCTCTTCTCGAATTTGTATCCAACAAGTTAAGTGCGTTTCCACTATTTTGGGCAATGTTGAGGTGAAGTCTATCTGGTTTGTAGTGTGTCCGTCAGGTGAAATCCACTTGGTCCTGTGTATAACCTTGTGCTTGTACACGCTACCTTCGATCACCAAATCATTGAGGGCTGAGAAGTCTGTGGAGAGTTTTACTTTCCCATTCATTTCGCCAATTGCCCCTCAACCCATGATGAGTTTTCTTCCTGCTTTGTTTTCTCACAGTTTAGCATTCATGTCTTCCATAAGAATTTCGATGTCTCCATCGGGAATGTTGTCGACTACTGTTTGTAGTTGTCTGTAAAAATCAACCTTTTTCTTTTGTTCTGAGTTGAACGCAGGTGCATAGCACTGGATGACTGTGACCTTTCTTCTTTTTGAGTTGAATCTTGCTGTCAGTATGCTGCTGGATGAAATTGTTTACCACAACATTAGGGCTTTGGCTACCACTGGTTATATCGTGATAGCCACTCAGCGCCTCAGTGTGTTCATGGTTGTCGTGTAGGTGACCGGAATAGATCACTGACTCTCCAGTTGATAGTTTCGGTAGTTCACATTCATTCCATCTGCTCTAACAGATTCCTAGCACTTCTATGCCACATCTTCTTAATTATATCGCTACCTAGGAAGCCTTCCCAGCCCTGTACATTGTACGTATGTTCTACGTCCTCATTCTTATTCTTGCTTTCATCGAGAGAAGACATGTCGAATGGCTAACTGGCCTCCTGAAGACTTTCACCATTCATTCCGTCTCTCCGTTTCCGGAGAGGAATAATTTTATTTTCTAAATTTCTTCCACTTTTAATATTTTTCTTGTGCGCTGGATTTTCTGTAGCAGTTTAACTGATTTCACGGGAGGGATTTCCCTCCTTCTTTTACCGGGCTTGGTACCGGCAAGAAAACTAGGGAACTAGTAAATTAGGTGAGCTTAAACATTATCACGACATGTCGTATGCAGATAGCATGCAGTCTTCTTCAAACTTTGTATACAGCCATTAGGTCACGTACTATCTTTTCACGTCCTTGGCAGATCTGGCAACAAAAATTACGAACATGTGACAGGTTAGGTAGCGTTATCAAGATTTTCCAATAACTCATTCTTGGGATCTCAAAGATTGCAGTCAGAAAACATGTCGTTTTCTACACGACTCAGACCTACACTGGGACTTTCCTTTTTGGTGGGAGCACCTCCAGTCGTTTTCCAAATTGTTCCTACTTCAGCAGACTGACTTCCTCACCTTGGTCTCTACAATTGGAACTCTACAATTCCAACACACACAAAACAATTACTGAAATTTTTTAATAGCTCTTATATTTGTGAAATGTCCTACACAAATAAAGTAAGGTTTTTATGTTACGTGTTGCAACATACAAATTGATCGTAACTCCTTCATTTAAGCTTCAAAGCTTTCAAATGTCATATAGTACTAAAATATTGTCATCATGTTCTTCTTTCATACATATTACTGTGTTTCAAATCAGATAGATCTTAGTTCCTTGCAAGTATTAAATCATGACATTTATATTGTGCGTTAAATGTACAGTTGAGCGATTCACTGACAAAATACGTTACGTACATACGCACCCTTGTTTCTCTGCAAGTGAATAATTCTGACTCCTCAAAATTAATAAAAACTACATTTACTTGGTGAATTCTATATTAGTTTGTTTATTAGATGTATCACACAGTGAAACAGTATTATTTACTGGATGACAAAGTTTCGAACAAAATTTATTGTTCATAATCATATCAATTGCAATCACACGACTTTGAAACTTGAGTTTTATAGTTTCCTTTGTCTTCTGCTATTTGTCGTCATTGTGGTAGTAGAATTTTCCAGATATCAGGGACAGGTGTTGAATCATTCCTACTACATGTATTTGCAGTTGATTCGATAAACAAAGCTTCTGTTATCAATCTCTCCCTAAAATCTAATGTCACAGGGTATAGGGAGAGATTGATAACAGAAGCTTTGTTTATCGAATCAACTGCAAATACATGTAGTAGGAATGATTCATCACCTGTCCCTGATATCTGGAAAATTCTGCTACCCTACGACAAATAGCAGAAGACAAAGGAAACTATAAAACTCAAGTTTCAAAGTCGTGTGATTGCAATTGATATGATTATGAACAATAAATTTTGTTCGAAACTTTGTCATCCAGTAAATAATACTGTTTCACTGTGTGATATATCTAATAAACAAACTAATATGAAATTACTTACTACCACAGTGCCCAAGTTTTACACATATATTTAGTTGGTGAAAGCGGAATTTGTCGAAGTTTGTAGAAGTTGTCCGTTCAGACCATTTGAAGTAAACTAAGGTGAATACGCAGTTATCGGACTAATCATTCTAATTGTAGCTGTTGAATATCTTTCATGAGAGACTTTTTCTGTATTTCATAAATGAAATGCATTTCAACTTCACTTGACCTCAGAAAGTAATGTATAAGCATAATCTATCAGAGACTCATATAACTATTGTGGAATTCACCACACGAAAAAAGTAAAAATAAAAATTAAGTAAGCTACCAAAGAAACACGTGTTTTATTTATTACATCACAATAAAAAGTAGAAAGCATAGTTTAACTATGTAAAATGCATATAATCTAGGGCGTATGCGATAATAAGTAGAGTATGCTTAGAAAAAGGTAGTGTTTTTTCCTATCGATCAGATGAAATCAGACATGAACGTGAATTGTTCAACCAATCATCTGTAATAAATTACTTTACAATTTGTTTACCTCTTATACTAGAAAACCACAAGTGAAAGACAGATAGGATCGTTGATTGTTATCTGCCTTTATTTTAGCATGTCTAAGTGAAAATAATTAATAATAATTACTATTATTTATCTAATATCAGTTTACTCCTTTTTTCTTTATAATTATGAGTGACTGCGCATTATCTGGTAGACGCAGTTCTGCAAATAGGATGTACAGATGGTGGAAGGAATGATTTCATTCAAATTAATCTAATAAGAGCACTTAGACTACCGACCAGTTAAGACTCAACGCTAAAAACCTCAAGTAGTTCGATTAAACTATTTTGCTTTTAGTGACACATATTGAATTTATTTACAATATAATCTAGTAACTTGGCGGGAAAAAAGTAGTTTAAACTCCTCACACTTAAACTACTTGTAGTTCTTTCTCTTATTTCAATTTAAACGTACTAAATATTTCTTTTAATTTTTTATTTCAGAATAATAGTGACATTTGAATAATATCTTTCTAATTGTTTAACCACTCTGATAATTCTTACCATTTCTGACTTTTCAGGAAATCAAGGTATTTAGTGCCGAATAGTAGTCCTAAAAATGAGCCATGCATCAAAATGCTTCTTTTAATCAAGACCAGATTATCTTTCAGGTAGATGTATTTGGTGTTGTCGTGTTCTCTGGCCCAGCTTTCATTCTATCTCTAGACATTTTCAGTCTAGCCGGAAAGTTGGTGTCAGGCTGAACAACAAAAGCCTACCAGCTAAACCATTAGGTTTAAAGAACACAACAACACCAAACAAATTATTATTCATCATAATCGCCCTCAGTTTGGACATTAGTGCTTAATCCATGTGGTGGAAATCACCATTTATAATCCCAAAAGCTAAGTAATGTATATTTTTTTTCCTTCACGTTCCCAGTGGAACATCGGACTCCAAGCTAGTGGCTTGAAGTTTCTGTAGCAGTGGTGATTATTTTTGCAGGATGGGGTTGCTAGTCTCATGTCCAACCTTTCCTCTTTACCAGGATTATTTCTGGCTTAGTGAGGTAAAGGAAGGCGTCGGTGGCCAGGGATCGAACCCCAGACCATGTGCATGGTCGGTGAGCGTCCTAACCGCTGTGCCACCAATGTACCGATTTAGAGGATCTATTCCATACTAAAAATGTTTTCCTTATAAGTGCTTATACAAATTTTGAAAGTGAACAGACTCAACAACATTGCAGACAGCTAACATTCAAGGCTGATTGTGATTACTTTATTGCTTGTACCAGAAATGAGAGTATTCAACAATATGTAACACTTAATAAGAAGTGTTGGCATTAATCACCACCCATTATTTCAACACTAAAGTTCTTTTGCTTAATAAATCCCAATTATTATTAAGTATTAATTCCACTATTTTGTCTTTTTTTTCAAATGACTAATCTGGCTGCTAGATTGCGTGATACACCTGGACCTCAGCGACCTAACCTTACAACCGCCTTCAGTATGCGAAAATACCATTTCCCAAGTAAAACATTTGATGCTTACTCAAGACAACCTAGTTCTGAGTGGATAACACGACAACAGCCTCCTATCAAACGTGTACAAGCTCAGAGAAAGCCACCTAATTACAGTAAGTATTTCAGCTTTAAATGAAGTCCTCACTAACTTCTCACTGTTATTACAAATAATATCTGTTTTCACTACATATATGATGAACTCATCCTCCATTAGGTTATATTAATTCACTTGGTATGCTGATGATAAATACATACATTGAGAGCAATCAGTAGAATGACTTATGTAAACTTATTATCTTATTTTAATCACTTTTTCCATTTAAAAGAGTAACAGATGATATATGGTGATAAACTTTTAAATTATTCGTATCGCTATACCGTTTATCGGACGAAATTAAGGGTAAGTAGTAGTTTCAAAATATTTACAGACACTTGATGAATTATCTACTAAGCAAAACACTTGTCAGTGTATAAATGACAGAACAGAATGTGGTTTGTTTAATTGTGAAATGACATACTCCGCTGCTTTTCGTGTTCTTTTAATGTCGTATACTGTTTTGCTGTATGAAATATAGCTGGAATCATAGAAATCGTTTTCATGCTTTATTTATACGATCAATTTCAAACTTTCTGAGGTCTATAGTTATTGAATGAAAACAATCCAGAATCAGCTTAAATACACCTCTTCAGTAAGTTTGAAAATACAGTTGAAGAAAACCATATGTACACAGCTAATGTAATATCTTCATGAGATTAGTACTCAAGATCTGGTAACTTTATTGATCTTTTCATTTTCACAGCTGTTAAGTAACAGAAATGCATGTATCATGTACTTTATTAGTAACAGAGTCACTTCATTCAGTATTATGGAGGTTCTTGAATATATCTCAGTTCTCTTAATTTTGACAAGTAGACTAAATTATTACTAACAATGGAATCAGATATTCTGATAGTTAAGACTGAGAAATATTGAAATTCTAACAAGTGTTGAAGAGATTATTAATTCATATTAAGACCCCTAACTAAGGATTTCTGAAGATGAGGATGCTTAGAACACATGTTGTGACCAACTTAATACCATGAATACTGTGAAGTAAAGTGGGCAGACGAACTGAATGATATCCACTAATGACTTATAAAGTTGGTTAAAAGTCATTTATACCACTCGTTAGTGCTTATTTTCTATCATTGAGTTACAAGAAAAAAATGTTAAACTTACGCTGATTTCGGCTAACTCTTTAGATGTTTGCATAGCTTAAGGGATTAGAAAACATTCCACGTAGTTATTACGTTGTCATAGTCGTTCGCATAGACCGTTTATTGCCACTTCAGCGCTCCTTTTTTTCCGCTGATCCACGGTGGCAAACTCAGTGAAGTGTTTGAAGTAAAGACAGGAGTGGGACAAAGTTTCCCCTACTATCACCGATTGTATTCCTAGTTTTGGTGGACTGGATCGTGCGTCAGACTAGCTGAAAAGTAACGAAATTCAGATGAACTTACAGAAGACAGAGATGATGAAGACAACCAAATAACAACAACAATAACCAGCAGCAGTCATTATCTACACAAGAAATTTGAAATAGGTCATTTCGTCTCAACTACAGGTGGCACGGATGGGGATTTCGAAACTATAATCGGAAAGGCAAGACAGGTCTTCGTCACTTTGAGATCAGTCTAGGTTTCAGCGAAGTCAAACTCGCAGAACTGAAATACATTACTTGAATGATATATCTCTCATCATAGCCTTGGTATTTCAAATTTTATAACTGATTTCATCCTTCAACAAGAACTTGACTTATATATATCCATAACCGTTCATAGATCAATAAATGTATTTTTTAGAGCTGTAGCTGAAGAACACATATCACATATTGCAGATGGAAATAACAGAAGAGTAGTTTCACGTCATGAAAATGCATACTGTATCTATCAACTGAAAATATCAAAACACTGTTATCCGTTGATAACTGTCATCAAAATAAACTCATTATGCTATTACAGTGAAAGGTGACTAAACTGCAGCACTTGAGCAGTAAGATTAACACATTTGGAGCCGACTTTCATCATTTAGAGGCTAACCAGAGTTAATTTAACTCAGGTCGCACAACTCAACCCACGTAACTTAGACTTTCTTATACACTATGAAAAAGAATAACAGTTCATGGTATTAGATGGTTGGAGGCAATCGGCCACAGGAAGCCTTGGACCTAGGTTTCGTGCTAGTTGGCACTCACCGGTCAACAAGGCGTATCTGCAACCCTGAAGAAACTCATGTTCCTTCTGAGATTCGAACCCGCGTCACCCAGTGCTGCAGTCATAGACGTTACCCTTGAGCTATTCGGGCTCGCGATTGATCTCCTGTAGGACTGTAGTGGATATTTTGATTTGACACTAGTAACTAGTGTAATGCGTCTAGTCCTCTGATTGGTGTAGACTGAATTCTATCAGTTAGGTTGTAATGTGACCACCATTCTAGCTAGCTTGCCATCATGGTGCACATTGATTTGATGGTATTAGATGGTTGGAGGCAATCGGCCACAGGAAGCCTTGGAAGTAGGTTTCGTGCTAGTTGGCACTCGTCAGCAAGGTGTGTTTGGATCTGTGTTGACACTTATCTCAGTTCAACCACCAAAGTTTACTGTTATCAACGTTTTAGCTGAAAATCATCAAGTCAAAGTTGTCATATGTGACGCAAAATGTGTTTTAGTCGCACGAGGAAACTGAAACTCTGAGAAACTCATTCTTCTCTAGTTACTACTCAAATGACAAGGGATTTTTTTACTTTCTAGATTCAACTGTTGTAACTAACTTCAATAATGAATAAATATATGAATAGTGTAACAACCGAGTAGAGCACATAGTTACTGCACTCCAACAATTGTCGTTAAATTATGTTGATAACAAGAATGCCTGTCGATCTATAGTGAACTATGGTCGGATATAGTTATTCTCTTTTATATAAGTGGTGACCCACTAACAGTGACTAGATATTAGTAACAAAAATGATTGTGTTGATTTTACTTCCTACACTTTACACTTTATCATACACTTTATTTATTCTCATAAGATAAAACTCCTTCAACTAGTCCACCACAGTTACGAAATCAAGGTCAGTGGACTTGAAGTGTTCATATTTCAGACTACTAACTAACATGCACAGACACACATCCGCATTATTACTAACGCTGTAGCTTTAACTAACTAACCTAATATTGTGATATGTTTTTTACCACCAGAGTATGGTTGGCTTTGATTAACCTGTGCTTATTATATTAACAATATTTTGTGTAGTATTGTGAGCAAACTCTACTCGTAGTTTGTTTAAAATGAATTTAAAACTCATAAATGAAATTAGCCCCCTAACTGCACACAGTAAACAAATATCCACAATGTATTTCAAAATATCGGTGACCCTGAATGGTTTACTGATGAATGTCATAAAGACTGAGGTCCAGTTTAGTTAGAGCGACTAAATTACTTCTGAATTTGCCAGTATTGCATATTCGAACAAAAAGTTGAAGGATTTCACCAAAATAGCTGAAAAAATGTATTACTTAAAACATGAGAATCAACTATATTTATACAGACATGTTTTGAAGCGTCAGGAACAGACTGTGATATTCAAAATTTCCATAACTAGTGGCATCGTTTCAACTACAGATGGTACAGATGAGGATGTCAGAGACAAAATAAGAAAATCAGGACAGACCTTCATTATTCTGAAATTAGTGTGGGAATCTACTACGCTAAGAACAGGAAACAAGATCCAGAACTTCAGCACTATGGTCAAATAAGTATTTTTATATGGTTCAAAGACTTAACGCACACAGGTTACTGAAAAGTTTCACTAACAGATGCTGTCACTCCATACAGAAGATCAGATGGCCAGTCAGAAAGGTTTAGAAACAAAAAACTCTAGGGACAAACGAATCAAGAAGCTGTTGCTCAATAAATAAGCAGACGAAAATGAAGATGGATTAAACATCCGCTGAGGAGAACGTTGAGTGATATCACAAGCCATGTCATTGCTAGCGTGGAACGTGAACGGGAAAGGATGAATTGGACATGTGTCCCAGGGTGGAGATCGTAGTGCAGACGTATTCGTATTTATCTAAGATATCTGCAAGTGCTCTGAAACAAACAAATGAGACTATATGTAAAAAGGTGTAAGCGAAAACACACGATCTTCTTCAAGAATTCGACCACAGTTATCTGAGGATATATTTCCTTCTTTAGGCATTTTGTTTATAGGGAAATTTAATATTTGATTTTGATTATAGCTTGAAACCATACAGTATTTTTGGTACAGTTATGGAATTTTCAGCATGGATATCGGTAGCCCAAATTTTGCAGGCCGATCACTGATATCAAGTGTGCGTCGGCAGGGGATCTAACCCTGGACCATGTGCATGGTCGGTGAGAGTCCTAACCGCTATGCCACCGACGCACAATGTTCAGAAGTTCCTCATACTATCTATTTTAGTTGTTTTACCATAGTGAAAGCCAACTTACTATGGGTGTGGTGAGAGCAGGCTGCTAGCCGATTGGTTGGCACTAATCTACGTTAAGGTCTAGGTCACTAATATGGGCCGTGAGAAAATATGAACAAGCCTGAGTCAACAACCAATCACAGCAAAGTTAACGTGGCAAAATATGATTCGCAGAGAGAACTCTATTTGTCAAGGAATCCCGAAACAACCAATCAGAAGCCTGCGTTTGTCTACCTAAACAACCAATCAGATGACTGCGCTTGTCTATAATAATGTAGTTGAAAGATGTATAAATACGTGTTGATTTTCATAATAAAACGATCTGTTGCTTCGCCCTTGTCTTCTGTTGTTACATTTGGTGTCGCTGCCTCCAGAAAATGAAGATCCCGTGGCCAGCTGCGTTTGAAGAAGGAGACATAAGGAGCTTCTTACGTGACTTCGAGGCTGTTGCTGAGCTGGTGGGTGTCAAGGAGCAGGCAGCGAAGGCAGTTGTCTTGGGGACGCTGTTGAGAGGCCGAGCGAAGGCTGCATATGACAGCGTAGACAGGTCAAATGGCACAGCGTCTTGGAAGAAATTGGTTGAACGACTAGTCTCCGAGTTTGACAGCGAAACAGACAGACAGCTAGCAATGCAGCAGTTCCGGTCAATGAAGCTTGGACCTGATGGAGACCCGCTAGTGTTGGCGGTGAAACTGACTAATCTACTTCGACGCGCACTTCCCACTTTAGATGAAGAATCAGAAGCGCAGTTACTGTCTTCCCAATTCATCGAGAGTGTCCCAGACCACATTTCTCAGCGATTACAACTGGTTAACGCAACGCAGCCGATGGATATTAGCGAGCTGGCGAAGGTGACCAGACAGCTGCTGAGCACAACGGTAGCCGCTATAGACCAACCAAAACCAAACGAGTATGAGCAGAAAATTGAAGCATTGCAGCGGGAAGTGGCGGCGTTAAAGTTGGCTGATAGAAAAGACCGGTGTTTTGAATGCGGTAAGCCGGGACACTGGAGAAGATACTGCCCAGAAAGGCGGAAAAGAAAAAATTTCAGACGGTATAATGCTTGTTCTTTCTTTCGTATGAACCTAGATTTAGTGGGGGCTATTGAGAAAGGCGCTCTGTATTCGAAGTTGCGAGTGAATGATCGAGAAGTAGTATGTTTGATAGATACAGGGGCGGCCGTGTCGTTAATAGATAAGAATTTATGTAAGAGTGTTAGCCCGTGTTCATTGACAGTACAAACAGTAGGCGGGTATGTGTTGCGTATAACGGGTAGATCGAACTGTACGGTCGTTGTTGGTGGCTGCGAGGTGACGTTTCCTTTCATTGTTGTACCCGAACTACAGCGAACGATATTAGGAGCGGATTTTCTGCGTGAGATTGGTGCCATAATCGACACGCAAGCGAACGTGGTGGTCACGAAATACGGGCATATCAACATGTATGAGACCAGCGAGATAGCAGCGATTAAGCTGCCGACGGTACACAATGTGACAGAGTTAATTAGTAAATACGATCATCTGTTCACTGGAGATGGCGACCCATACGGTTATTGCGATAAGGTGAATCATGAAATTCCGTTAAGTGATCCGAAAGTAAGGTCATTTACAACGCGAAGAGTTCCATGTCATCTGGAAGGCGAAGTGGAGCGACAAGTGCAAGAGATGTTAAAAGATGACATTATTGAGGAAGCTGATAGCCCGTACAACTCTCCAGTGCTGTTAGTAAAAAAAGCGAATGGGAAGTATAGATTCTGTGTTGATTTTCGACAGTTAAACAGTATGACAGAGTTAAGACCGTGTGCCATGCCAACAGTGGTAGAAACTTTAGATCGCCTACAAGGTGCGAATGTGTTTTCGGTTCTCGATCTTCGCTCAGGATACTGGCAGATACCGATAAAACAAGGTGATAGAGATAAGACGGCTTTCATCGTGGGTCAGACACAATATCGATTTAAACGCATGCCGTTTGGACTAGCAGGTGCACCGTTTACGTTCAGACGACTGATGAAGCTATTACTTAGGAACTTGAAAAACGTGGAGGTTTATGGTGATGATCTCGTCATATACAGTCAAAACGAAAACGATCACGTCAACCATGTAGAAGCCGTGCTGCGACGCATCGAAGAGTTTGGACTACGCGTCAACAAAACCAAGTCCCAGATAGCCAAAAAGAATGTTACTCTGTTGGGACATAAAGTGGGAAATGGTGAGATTAAACCACTGCCGGAGAAAATTTTGACGATTAAAACGATTCCAGCCCCGAATTCAAAGAGAAAACTGAGACAATTCTTGGGTAGAGCAGCGTTTTATAGCCGCTTCGTGAAGAACTTCAATGAGATAGCAGCCCCTCTATACAGGCTACTAGGTGAGCCAAAGTTTGTTTGGTCGGAAGAATCGCAGAGGACATTCGACAGAATTAAACAGCTGCTCGACCACCAACAAATGACGCTAAAACTACCTGTGCCAGGAAGACAGTTCACAGTGTGCACAGATGCCAGTGACTACGCTATAGGTGCGGTCCTAAGACAGGACGAGGGAATCGTTGAGTATGCCAGTAGGGTTTTGACACTCGCAGAGAGAAAGTATTCAACGATAGAGAAAGAATGTTTAGCAATGGTATGGGCAGTCGACAAATGGAGACCTTATTTACTCGGCCGGCGGTTCCACATCGAAACTGATCATAAGCCGCTACAATTTTTGAAGACAGCGAGAGACCCACGGGGGAAGTTGTCACGGTGGATGTTGCGTCTTCAGGAGTACGATTTTACGATCTCACACGTTCCTGGAAGTGAAAATGTCTTGGCAGATTTGTTATCGAGACCAGAAGATGAGTCTGAGTTGCCCGAGGTCGCTTACGGAGTGCATGCAGTAGAACAAGACCCACTAAGACTTGCACGTAGGCAGAGGTTGGACGATACGCTGAATACAGTAATACAGGTGATCACCAACGGAATAGAAGTGGATCAAACTACGGCGAGTAAGGAGCTAACCACACTACTCAGACAGAGGGATCGACTCAGAGTGAATGCCTACGGGACTCTGACCTGGCGAGAGAACGACGGAAGCTGGCTGGCTGTCATACCTCAATCGTCGCGCCACGACATGATAGAAGAATGTCACCAGCTAGCGCATACAGGCGTGGCCAGAACGACCGATCTCCTAAGACAAAGTATGTACTGGCCAGGTATGAGAGAAGACGTAGCAAGATACGTACTTGGATGTCCACGGTGCCAGCTGATGAAAGGTGACCGGTGTATACGACCACCACTTCAGTCGATTCCAGTTACCGCGATAGGTGACTTGTGGTCCGTAGATGTCATGGGTCCATTTCCTCAGACATCCAATGGTAATCAGTACCTCTTGGTGATGACGGAACACGCGACACGATGGGTAGACGCCGTAGCAATCCCAGACCAACGTGCAAGAACCGTGACAGATGCAGTAGTTAGACACATTGTTGCAGACCACGGCGTACCGAAGACAATACTGACAGACCAAGGTCCCTGTTTCGAGAGTGAAGAGTTTACTTCCCGTTTGCAACAGCTGGGCATCAAGAGGATCAGAACGACCCCATACCATCCACAAACGAATGGCCTAACGGAGAGAAACAACCGTACACTGAAGGAGTGGCTGGCCTCGAAGGGCGGGAACTGGGAAACGGAGCTTCCACTGATTTTACTAACACATCGCGCTACCACTCAGGAAACAACGAAGAAGTCACCCTTCCAACTGATGTATGGTAGAAAACCACGATTACCGGTACACAATGAGACCTGGCCCATGCACCAAAAGTGGAGTACGACGAAATTAAAAGCAGAGAGGAAAGAGGCAGTCAAGAATGTAATACGGAAGCAGCGCAGTGATGTCATGAAGTCTCAGATGAAAGAAAGGACGCAGTGCATTACCTTTGCAGTCGGGGACCAAGTGAAGTGTAGAGACAGGAGATATACAGTTGGAGGCGGGCTAGGTTCACGGAAACTCCTTCCAAAGTGGGAAGGACCATACACAATCACAAAAAGACGGGGTCAAGTATATACCATCCGAAGAGGTGATAAACAGAAACGAGTTAACGCCAGTCAGCTCCAAAGATGGGTACAGTGGGACAAGCCGGTCAGTAACAATCCTCAACTAGAGGATGTAGCACCCAGAAGGTCGGAACGTCTGCGCACGAAGCTATTTGACGGGGGGACGAGTGTGGTGAGAGCAGGCTGCTAGCCGATTGGTTGGCACTAATCTACGTTAAGGTCTAGGTCACTAATATGGGCCGTGAGAAAATATGAACAAGCCTGAGTCAACAACCAATCACAGCAAAGTTAACGTGGCAAAATATGATTCGCAGAGAGAACTCTATTTGTCAAGGAATCCCGAAACAACCAATCAGAAGCCTGCGTTTGTCTACCTAAACAACCAATCAGATGACTGCGCTTGTCTATAATAATGTAGTTGAAAGATGTATAAATACGTGTTGATTTTCATAATAAAACGATCTGTTGCTTCGCCCTTGTCTTCTGTTGTTACATGGGTAGTTACATAGTGACTAAAACTTGTCAGGGACAGTTTCATTCCAGATATAAATCACTTCATTTCCTTCCCTTCAATGTATTCGTATGTGAATTATAAAAAAAAAGTTACGGATGCATACATAAGCCCAATAATTCAACGAAAGTTCCTTATTTCTTAACGATGTTAAGCCTAAATAGGTGGTTGGAAAAACGCAGTTTTATATTTATTAGTTCATAGAGTTGACTTGACCGTTATTTTAAATGTCATAGCGAAATGTCTATCCAGAGACAGCAGATGCACAAGAATCTTTTATAAACTGTAAATCTGATCTTTTTTCCGTTGTCTTGTGCTACGCGTAAATAGGAGTGGACCACTTAACAGCGCATGCTGTGTTCTTACCAGTTAAGCATAATTCTCTAATAAAACACTGAACTAATTACCTTCCTTTACACTATGCATATGAATGTTTAACTACAGTATTCTTTCAGAGACCAACAGACTCAAACACTAAGAACCAACAGATCCGCTAGGTGGCTTACTTATAGAGAATCGAACTTCATATCGTTAGACCTTTATTAATCACCTGAGATCACACAAAAAACCACCAATTTTAAAGCAGATAATCATTTGTCTATCTGTAGAAAGTGAATAATCATAAATAACAGTCAATTAAAGTAGATGATGAAATCCTATAACCAATTTAAGTGAAGTCTTACAGTGACAAAGATGTCCATACTTACATCATGTTTTGTAAGTTGTTGTGGTTTTATGAATTATTACGTGCATAAATTAGTCAAATTTATCGTCAGTTTAAGTTATAAAACCTTTCTAATCAAATAATAACCTATACCCATGGCATAAGAGGTGGCTTTCATTACCCAAGTGATCTAGCGGATAACGGTTTGGCGATTAAAACGATGGTTACTAGGTTTGAGCCTCAGACAGAACACCGTCAACCACTGGAGAGTGTAGGTTCATCCAGGTGATAAGTCCCAAAATAGGACGAAAAACGTATCGTCGATTCCACCAAATTACATCGGAGCTTTCGGATAATTATATAATTTAAAACTATTTCTTTTCATGTGATAATTTATAATAGTTCAATGATTTTAGCTGTGTTACATACGCTTGGTTGTTTTTAAAAAAACTAACTTGTCATTTTCCCCAAATTTATCATTTTAAGCAGAAGTACTAATGTAGACGAAAAACACTAAACAAATTCGATGTGTAGACAAGGCAATAACTAGCTATTAAATGTGGTCGCATTTTAATTCGTTCACTTGACATATTATACACGGAAATAGTACTTTTTTTGAATTTAATGCATTGTTTTTATCTATCTGTGATCCTTTTTACTTTTATGTACTTTTATATTAATACAGCATTGAAAGTTAGGAAGGGAGCATGTAGACACAAATTGCTTAGAAAAATGCATACATCTTTTAGACACTAAAACTGATTTGTGGCAGAACTAATAAGTTGATAACTGTTTGTATCTTTACTTTTTGTCCAGTACTAGTTTTAACAGATGTGGATCTGACTGATTTTTCATTGTTCACTTGGTATTCTTTTGACAAAATACACACTTTAATATCTTGCTGAGATTAATTCATCACTTTGTATCTATGCACAGATATATTTCACATGTGTGCTTATAGACTTTAACTGTGTACACGCTCCTGACTATTCTCCGTAGAAAAGCTGATAGTTGTTTTGCACTCAATGTTCATTTATCACATATTAGTTACACATTAAAAATTGTGATATACATTTACAAAATAAAATTATTTAAACACTTGCTTTTAACTTCATTGTTTTATTGTAAGTATCTGGAAGTGTTGCACCAGTTGCTTATGGAGAAGAACCTGATCAATATTACTTAATGCCTGGATCACCATCTCCCTTGCCTGCTAATTCAGTGAATGTGGAAATTTTACAAAATCTTCCCCCAGCATATCGTAAACCAGGTCCAATCAGAGTACCTCTACCAGAAGATCATTGGCAGATGTCAGCAGCTGACTGTACACAAGGTTTAGGAAGAAATATTGACGGAACGGACATAGCTGCCATGCCAGATACAGAATGGCAGGTAAATCCCTTTTTAAATTCACAAATAAAAAATAATTAGTTATTTTGATAATCTTATGTTAGCCATCAGTGGAACATTTAATACACAACTGGTATTTACTGACAAGTGTCAAATTAGCCAGCATTACACCAATTCAAATAATTTCCTATCAAACGCAAAGTTTACTGATCATATTGTCTGTGTGGAACTACACCTTTCCCTTCAGATGAAAACTGATTTCTCAGATTCGGACAGGCCGGAAGACAGAGGGAAAACCTCAAATGTAATGTGATGACAATGAAGTCGAATGCGCAACTTAGATTTGTAAAATGAGAATCGGACATAGTTATTCAGGAGTTCATCTAGCACATTATTACTTATAAAATTATGACTTTTGGATTCATTTCATTTTCCAGCATACAACAACGTTAAACGTTTATCTTCTCCACTCTGCTTAACTTTAGGGTTGTCGAACAAACTGGGGTCTGAAGTGGCCGGGAGCTTATTATTATGAAGCCTGTATGTTGGAGGAGGGTCAGGTACGTTTAGGTTGGTCAACAAATGATGCAAGCCTAATACTTGGTACAGATTCCAAAGGATTTGGATATGGAGCTGATGATACAGGTTTGTTTCACTTCTATACTAAAGTCAAATGTCTATCAAAGTTTCTAAACTTAACTGTGGTGAAATTTGATTAACCTGATCAATACGACGAACAACAAGATTCTGTCAACACGAGTTATTCATTTTGTTGTGGTTGTTTGACACTGTTATATCGTACCTCCCTCGGTTAAGCTTTGAAGCTTAATTTTAGCGTGTGAACTAATGCCCTTCCCCCATTAAGCAGCGTATAGAGGGATTAAACTGCCGGAAAATTATACTTGTTTTAAGTGACAGCAGATATCTAGTAATTGTGTAAATTACGCTGTCATCGGCACTTTCTTTTTTTCTTTCCTTCACGTTCCCAGTGGAACATAGGGCTCCAAGCTAGTGGCTTGAAGTTTCTGTAGCAGTGGTGATTATTTTTACAGGATGGGGTTGCTAGCCTCATGCTCAACCTTTCCTCTTTACCAGGATTATTTCTAGCTCAGCGAGGTAAAGGAGTGCGTCGATAGCCGGGGATCAAACCCCGGACCATGTGTATGGTCGGCGGACGTCCAAACCGCTGTGCCACTGACGCACATCATTAGCACTTAAGTTCTAACTGCTAACTCATTTGAAAATACGGTGGTTCGACTACCAGTCACCTTCAATTCAAGGTTTATCTTGTTAAAAATGTTATGTTATAAAATTCTTCTACCGATAATTGTGCCACTTATACCTGATGACTTATCTGTGAATCTAGAGAAGGAACAGAACTGATCATTTTTTACACGACAAGCCTTTATAACAGTGTAAAAACCACTATAATTTTTGAGACAGTCGTAAATGAGTTCAGCTTTGATGCTGAAGTCAGTACTGTCCACCAGGAAAAGCATACAAGAAGTATAACAGTTGCTCATATTGTCTACGGTTCTTAGTTATGTTTCTAGACTGATTTCCTCCAGGATATATTAAATTAAACTGTCATGGTGAATATACCTATGAAAAGCTTATTCTGTAATTGCATTTGTGCGCACTCTGAACCCTCCTGAAAATCTCAATAATTCAGATAATCAGAATCTTTAAGCCATAGAGTAGTTGCGTGAGCTAAACTCTAAATGCCATGAAACTACCGTCCAGAATTTCAGTGACAATAGGATACTGTCACGAGTACACTAAACAACAACACCTTTAACAAAAATGGTACTCTAAGGATTTGATGGCAACAGTTCTAACATTTTTGAATAAATCTTCGAAGTTTCTTAAGATTCTGTTATTATAATCCTGCATAATTCTCAATAACATAGATCGCATTATGTAAGACCGCATTTCGGGCAAACTGATCGCCAACTTTTGCCACATCAGTATGATAACAATACCCCCACGAAATCAGACTTAAATAGCCCAAAATTCTATTTAATTATCAGCGTATCGTCAGATAAAAGGCTTCAACAAAGATTTCGTTTATTGATAATGACAGGTTTACAAGCAGTTAAGTGAGTTTTCTATAGGAAGGCTGATGCAAACGCTTACAGATAAGATAAAATTCTGTAAAAGTGCTTAATTCGATGTACTTTCTTGCTTAAGATAACTGATAATTGTGTATGATTTAAATTATCTTTACTTCTACAAGTGGCTAAATTAAAGTGTAAAATTAGCATATAAGAACGAAAAAGGGAAATAACTTGAAATTATTTCTAACGTCTAAGGGTTAAACTAATCTATTGTTTCCTACAAAATAATTAATTTAGCACATCAAACGACATCATATCGTGGCAACAAACTCTCTTCTTTTTATGTGAGGAGTGAAAAATATTCTCGCGTTCATCACCATTTATTCCTTTTTTAATGTTTATTTCCAATAAAAGGAGCTGGATCAGCTGCTAATTCATGTCCTGTAGGAAAGTTTATCAATGCCAATCGTTCAGTTGATTATGGAATGGCGATTGTGCCAGGTGACGTAGTTGGGTGTTACCTAGAATTAAATCCAGATGCTACTGAGGATTACAAATTCATAGATATACACTACAGCTATAATGGTCGGATGTTACAGACGCCAAACTTCAAAGTGGACGAAACGCTCACTGCAAATATGGCATTTTTCCCTGGTAGGTTAAAGAATTTTAAACGTTTTAGAAGATACCAGCCTATGCTTTTCAAAGTTGGGATAATCTTTTGCTTTATACAGGGTAATGAATGGCACTAACACACAAATGTTGTAAAAAGTGAATATTACTGTGTTCATAACAACTATGCTGATAACCAGGTTAAGATGACCAGCATAAATATTGACAGGTATTTCGACTTTACAACTAAAGTGTGTGTCAACAAACATTATCTGTTCTCAAGGAGTAATGCTGACTGTTTAGTTTGTGTTAAGGAGTCTTTGGTTTGATGGACATGACCACAAGTCGAGGACTGAATTTGTCAGCATAAATATTTGGAAGTTTATCTGTTCTGTCACTCATAAAATTTAGTCCATCATAAAACATTTTGTCAGAGAATGTTTATTTATAAATTTGATTTGCCTTTTATTCTGAGGAAAGTGAAGCTTCTAAATCTACTAGTTAAATTTACTTTACTAAACGGAGTGGCACAGTCTAATTAACTCACTGATAGATATTTCAAGAATCACGGAATATACACATTGGGTAATAGGAGTAAATAAGAAGACAGTTACAGCAAAGAAAATTTTCTTTTCGACGAAGTCATCATCTAGGCTGTACATTCGTGTATTTATATCAAATGGATGGGAAAGTTCCAGAATAATATCCGGTCAAGGGTCAAATTAATAAAAATTAAAATTGGGAATTAGAATGCCATAATAAACAGGGGGATGGATAAAACAAACAAAGTAGCATTATAATAACTAAGAAGACTGACATTGTGCAATTAGGGGTTAGAAATGTAGAAATAACAAAATAGACAGGATGTTTGGATAAAAACTAATGTGATGAATAATTGTTTATGCAATCAGGGATTAAATATGTAGAAAAAAAAATTTCAAGAACAATATGTGGTTTGAAATCATGTTAAGGCTGAACATGGACAATAAATTGTTACCAAAACATCATCCAATTATAAACATTCCCACAATGTGTTAAACCAAATAAACTTTTATAATATTGAATTATACTCTTTTTTTTGCTTTTTTTTCCTCCACCTTCCCAGTGGAACATAGGGCCTCAAGCTAGTGGCTTGAAGTTTCTGTAGCAGTAGTGATTATTTTTACAGGATGGGGTTGTTAGCCCAATGCCCAACCTTTCCTCTTTACCAGGATTATTTCTAGCTCAGCGAGGTAAAGGAGTGCGTCGGTAGCCGGGGATCGAACCCCGGACCATTTGCATGGTTGGCGAGCATCCTAACTGCTGTGCCGCCGACGCACTATTTATACTCTACTCCTACATTAATAATCCCAAACCTGCGCATATATATATATATATGTACTGTAAATGTAACGCTTGATTATTCATTAAGCATTTTTTTTGCTTACTAAGTAAACTCATACCTTCTGTAAAACGTATACATGTATTCTGACACCATTGTAGACAATAATTTTCAACTAATCAATATATTTTATGTATCTTGTATCTTCTGTAAAAATGTGTAGTGTTCACATAGTAACCAGTAAAAATCAATCAGACTTAGTTACAGTCAATGATTTTATTCATATAAAATACCACCAGGATTCTTAACATTTATCTTGATATGGCATTGATGTGAACTGTTAGGCAGTAGTAGTTCAAATAATTTGAACTGGTAGACTGATTCGCTGTGTGCTCAAGATGCAATGGAATTATATAAATGAAGTTAGAAAGTTGTGTGAGTACCTTGATATGATTATGAGCAGCAATAAATTGTGCTCGAAACGTCATCAGTAAATATTACTGTATAACACTGTGAGACTTTATCAAAATAAAATCCTATCCATAATGGAATTATATATATTCTACTACAGTGCACAAGTTTTATTTTTATATCTATGTTTAAGAGTAAATTTTACATCGGTATTGCTTATTTGTAAGTGAATGCGAATCATTTAACACATTAACACTTAGATAAACGGAAATATTTTTTATTTGGTTGTGTTCTCTCCTCTTAGGTGGTTGATTCAATTGCGAAACTTTCCTTGTCGTTGTAGACAACATCTTGAGCACAAGTTTTAATATGAAGTGAATACAACCAAGTAAAAATAATCCACCTGCTCTACAAATTTTCGCTGTTATTTCATAGATAAAAATATATTGATCTCCATTAACTAAGTTTTCTTTGGTTGGCTTTTTCCCGTCGTTGTTTTGAGGATCAACCTTAACGATAACTACAGTTATCCGTTTTAGTATAACCAATAATACACGTGACTTCTGTTTCTATAGTGAAATATTGGGAAATTTAAAATGAACCTATAAGACAATATTATTACGAATGATGCGCGTATTTCACTTTAAGAGTTCATTTCTTTTAAAACAAGGATGGTTTTCTCACTCGCTCAAGTATGATGAAACTTGATATTTACATGCATGTACATTATCTAATAGTCTTTTTTAACAACTATTTTATTTTCTAAACATTTTTCTGACATGTAGCTGTTTCACTCAAAAATGCTAGAGTTGAATTAAATTTTGGCGACAAACCGTTCAGCTTTCCACCGAAAACCACATCATTATCTGGTAAACCCTGGGTAGCAGTATCACATGTTCCTAGCACATCGGTGGTATCCAATCAGAATGTTGGTTGGCGTGTTAATCCGAATGACGTAACCTCAAGTACAAATTTGTTAGTTTCACCTAACGGTCGATTTGTACAAGCTGTAGAAAATACTGGATGGCAAGGTTTTCGAGTAAATAAGGTAAATAAATACATGCTTCTTTGAATTGGTAATTTCAATCTTAATAGCAATTTATGTGATGAAGAAAGAATTTGATGTGTATTAGATTAACAGCATAACCATTAGATTCCAAAAGTTACAGAATCCTTTTTAGAAAGAACGCATTTCAGTACAATAAGCATTTAAAATTAGTTTCATTTTAGATTATACAACAAAAGTACACTTCTAAACACTTTAAAACTAAAAGTTTAAGGCAATAAATTTACGTCTTCTAGATATTATTTAGTCTTGCATTCCTAGGACTGTGACTGAGTATTGCAAATATGTTTACTGTGATCACTAACTTAAAGAACTAACAAGTTACCATAAGTATCCAAAACACTCTGTGTATTCTCTGAATGGGCTTTCTGTGATAATATTTAAGCTGAATTATGAACATAAAATTATATCAGTTGATGAACAGACATGAATGGAACAGTTTCACCGAAGCTTATTGTTCCTGGTCATAGGATTCCAAGTATATGTCTACACTTTTCATGTTGAAATTGAAGGAACAAAATGATTCTGTAAGTTTACGAAATGCTTTTATCTTGTATTACCGAGCAACAAACACCTAAGAGTGAAATAAACAACAAGTTAGTAAAGGTCATAATTCAGACTTACAGTCTTTCACTTTCAGTCATGTGAATGCTAATAAATAAAAGGTTTATCGTAATATATTGTAACTGCTTAAACAGCGCATGCGTTCATAACAGCTAAAGTCCTTTTAATCTTCAAAACCAAAACGATATGGTGATTTTTATCTTATTAACTACATTCATACAACAGGGAATACTTGGTGACAGAGCTTATTACTATGAAGTAAGGATTGTAGAAGATTCCGGATTGGCGCGTATCGGCTGGTCTTTTGAAAACGGATCATTAGATCTTGGAGTTGACTGTTTTGGATACGGTTATGGGGCTGATCGAGATGGCTTTGGTATAAATGGTTCACAAGGAAAGAAGTTGCACAGAGATGTCATTGAAAATTACGGTGAAGTGAGTATTTTCAGTTAACGTTTGAATTATAGTTCTGCTTAACTCTCTACACGACTGAGAAAACATTCAAGAGTTTCCAGCTAGAATTGTGTACAGTGGAATAATTTCTTGTCAGCAATCCTATATCAATAAATTAAGTTCACTCACTTTTTCACGTTTATTTTATACACCTGTTTGCTGACGTCACCCATGCACCCAGTCACCTAACTTTTTTTGCAGAGATTCATGTCAAGGTTACCAAAGCGTACCATAGAAATTACATTTACTTATAACCGGTGGTTTGTGAAGACCATCTGTTTATTTCAACCGTTCCGACAACACAGTAAGTTTTAAGCAAATGAGTCGTTGTCACTTAGTATTGCACCACAATGATGAAATGCTAAATTTTCGAACAACTCAGTATAAAAATTAATGATTGTTATTACATGCAATTCACTGTAGGGTTACACGCAAGCAAATATTTTGTGTATATAAATAGGGTAGTGTTTCTCTAACCGATGTCAGCTTGTGGTGAAATCCTGAAACCAATCAAATCCCCGTAAACCAACACTGGAATTTAGGTAATAGTTATTTTTTGAAACAGCTGAATATGACATAAAATCATACCTGATACATAGAAGACACCCATGGTAATTGAAAATTACTTGCTACTCAAAGTAAAACGACACATCTTTTCTAAGATTTCTTATTAGATATATCACACGGTGAAACAGTATTGTTACTCACCTTTTAAGTGTTTATGAGAGTGGAAGTTAAAGATAAACATTATCTAACATCATGCAGTTCGTCCGGTGTGCACCTTGAACAAACCATTGCGGTAATTACAACCGATGAAGACATTATTTACCGTAGAAGGTCAACTACTTGTTTTGTTTTTCTTGGGACTTTCTATGCCATACACACCAAATCCTTACTCATTCAAAGTGAGATGTAGATAAGAGACATACCTTAACTACTCTAACCAGAGTATCACAATTCACCAATCGGCTGGTATATGCAACTAGTCTGAAATAGTTCAATGTATAAAAAAATACACATGAACAGTTGTCTAATGACCAATTTCTGAGTAGAAGTCACAGTCATATGCATTTTTTTATATGCAAAGGAATGAAGGTCAAAATAAATACCTGATATAGGTTAGATAGCTTGTAGAATTTGAAAGGAAATACAACTTTTTTTAGTAAACATCACGGTACCTGACAACACAGCCTTATACGCCTAGATATTATCTGTTGTACAAAATCACAGCCAATATAATTTAATAAATTTTTAATGTTAACGGCAAAGAATATAACTATACAGAAGTGTTAACCAGTTTCACAAAAATCTGAGCACTATTCTGTTATAATGATCTCATTCCCGGCCGACGCACTCCACTTTTGTGCGTCAGTGGCACAGCAGTTAGGACTGTCGCCCACCAATCACATGGTCCGGGGCTCGATCCCCTGCCGATGCACACCTGTTATCTATGGTCGGCCTGCAAAATTTGGGCTACCGATATCACATGCTGAAAATTCCATGCCTGCACCAAAAATATGGTGTGAAGACAAGCTGTAATAAAAAAATGCTACTAATTTCTCATAATACCATCTTCAGGTCACCAATGCACATAAAAACAATGTAGAGTTTCAAGTGATCACCCATTCTAGGCTAGAGGAGTAAGGATATCTCAGTCGAATCACAAGAGTCATAACGCAGTCTGCGAGTAACAACTGCTTCTTACATTGAGGACTGAAGTAAAACAGTAAAAACAGAATAAAACGGAAGTTTTATGCATTAACTGAGATTCCAAGATTCTGTAATCTACTTAAATTAGCATCAACTCTCAAAATTAATGACAATTACTCTGAGCATAATGTGTCAATCGACTAGATTAGATATAAAATATTCCTCGGATATTGTACCAATTCAAAAATCATTCAAGGTTCATATTTCATTGCCAGTTTTGTACACAGAGGTCGCCAGTATGTGGATGCTGACAAAAGAATAATAACACCTTAAAGATGATATTGTCATCTTTCAGCAATTTTGTCACTCTTAAAAAAAACGTAGATGTGCCACCAGTGTGATCTGATAGAAAAATCTCAGCTGGCATGACTTCCCTCCTCAATTTCTTGATATCTGAGGAAGGTGAAAAGATAACATGTTTCATCTACAGCAGTTTCAACCCTGGCTAAGCTTATCAGAAGGAAATGGTGTGTGGATACTTCCATAAATAAGGTGCTTCACATGATCCATAGATAAATGTTAATCTAATTAGTGTCTGAACCATTCTTCCATTTTAAATAGCTACGGTCACTAGTGTGTGGATCTTCAGTATTCATACCATCGTAAGTCAGTTATTCTGCATATCCTTGACATGAAATGTGCTGCACTTGTTTTGCAAGCTATGACTGGTGTATATTTCTAATTCAGCTAGTGTCTGATGCTTTGGCTGAATTAGACAATCAGACAAACCTGTTGCTTAAAGAAACTATGGCTAACATGCATCACTGTGATATCTATGCAGACCACGATAAAATTCATACGAGGAACTAATTAGTGATATAAATATTTTTAAACAACTCTTGAATACTAACAGTAAAATAATAGTATATCGCAAATCTAAACTCAGCTGGGAATTTCTCTTAAGTCACTTACTGATCTGAAACCATTGAAGTGTAAAATTTACGCTCTAAATGTATTTTAATATATTTCTGATAGTTGTTTAAACGTAAACTTTGATGTTTTTTTGCCAAACACCACTAAAAGGTGAAGAGAATTTTAAAACGCGAATTCTCGTTAGAGAGTTACTAGACGGATGTATCACTTGTCAGATTAAAAAGCTGTCAGTCATTTTAAAACGTTTGCGAAATTCACTTTAATATAATCCACTCCCTTATTTAAATGATTGCATTAATTTTGCTGGTGAGATTCACACAGATAGTTGTTCTTGCATCCTCAAATGCTGTCTGGCTAAAGATTTATTTGCGCTAAATTTTCAAACTATTTGGTGTAATTTTTCCAGAAACTGCTGAAAATTTTCCTGTAAATAGTGTACTACATAAGTTTTCTTCCTTTTGCGTTTTCTAGCTAGCTGATATACAGTAGAAACATTCTGAGCTACAACGTTTTATAATGTCTTTTTGAATTAGTGGACTATCTAGAACTTCCAGTCATTATAAAGCAATGATTTCTTCTATTAATCTTAACTCGGCACCTTACTCTGTTTTCAGCCACGCTGTTCTGAGATGTAGATAGATTTAGCCTAGCAGTCAATAATGAAAATAAATAATCTCATCATTTTCGGATGAATATGTTGCGTTGACTGAAATGTTTATGATATTATACCAGCCGAACTGCGTTATTCTAGATGTCCATTTAGTCATCCATTAAAGTACTGATTCTATGGAATCTGCTATTCTACCGTACATGAAGAAAGTAGTAATTTGAATATTTATCATTATTAGCTGCTTGAGTTACTTGAACTTCAGTAGCACATCATCATTTCACTTTGTTTTCCGTTGTAATTTTAACCGACTTCGCAGCCTCCTACACGCTTTACTTTCTTCTTCATATGATCGCCCCCTTGTTACCTTCGGACGCCTAACTCGTTGTTTCACATTTAGGTTCCACTTGAGAACCTGGTGTCAATTGAAGGTCTTTTCAAAGCATGTCTAGTTCATCCCGATTTATTTCTTCATTTTTGTTGGGTTACAGGTTTTTGTTTGTTTCGCTACCATAGTTCTTTATTGCTTAGTCTTTACGACCGATCAGCCATTTGATCTTTAGTATCAAAAGTTTGAAGCTTGTTAAAAATATCTTTGGTGGCGCATCGTGTCTCTTATCTATATAGGAGCACTGACTTGACACTGCTGAGAATCCGAATTTCACTTTTATTTTTAGTTCTGAAGATTTTCACACTAATTTCAGAGTAATTAGCATCTGTCCTACTTTCGTGATCTGTTCCTGGCATTATTTATTATTATTATTATTATTATATTCTTTAACTTATAGAGGAACATAGGGCTTCAGCTGCGCGTCTCCATTGCCTTCGGTTCTCTGCCAACTTTTTCACTCCGCTCCAAGTCTGCCCACATGCTTTCATCTCCTCCTCACATGACCTCATCCAAGTCACCCTTGCACTGAAGACCAACTCGCCGCTTCTTTTTCGGGTTCCACTCGAGCGATGGCTTGTCTAGTGATGTCACTTGATGGTTTGTTTTCTGAGAGTATGACCAATCCATCTCCATTTCTTCCTGCCTATTTGTTTCACAATCTGTTCCTGCAGGTTTGGTTCGCTCCCAGAGATCCCTGTTGCTGATCTTTTCTGGCCATCTGATCTTGAGTATTGAGCGGAGACAGCTGTTAATGAAGGTCTTTAGTTTGTTTGAGATACTCTTTATGACGCACAGTGCAAGTCACTGATCCATAAAGTAGCACTGACTGCCTTCACATTGTAGTTGAAAATCCGGACGTAATTTTTGATGCTGAATGCTGTTGGCTTCCACACAGACTTGAGAGTAATGAAAGCTTGTCTTGCTTTTCCGATTCTTGGTTTGATATCCTCGTCAGTTCCGCCTGTAGTTGAAACGATGGTTCCTCCCATTTATGCAGGCTGATTGTTGTCTGTTGTTGTTGTTGCTGTTGGTGTTGGCCAGGAATCTTCATCACCTATCTCTGTTTTATCTATGTTCACGTGAAGTCCTATCTTATCTGGATGCTTCTTCTGCCAACTTGTTGCTATTCACTTGCATATCTTCCAGTTTGTAGGAAATCAGATACATATATATATCATCGGTGAAGTCCAGATCCTCCAAGTTTTTTGTGTGAGTCCATGATCCTGGCATGGTCTTCCTCATCTAAGCCACCGGCCTTTAGTTGGAACGACGATGCCCAGGTAGGTAAGTGAAACAGATGACTTCCTTTGGATCTCTTTCGTCGATGGACATTAGTGTTTGGTGTTGATGGTTCGATGTCTACATCACCACTTTCTAATGATAAAAGTAAATATATAAGAGGATAATTCTAGTTTACCAGAAATAAAAGAATTTTAAAGTTATGCGCCTAACTAATAATGAAATCCCACTTTAGGGCATTTCGGAAATTCATTCAAGTTTGTTTTTTCGGAAATTTTATCTTAGAAATGCTACAAAATAGGTGTTGACACAAGTATTAGGTAGCAGTATCAATTCATTTGCTGAGATTGACCGTATCGGAACTTAACATTCACTAATGTTATTTAAATTTTAACGTACAGATAAAAGTAATTTTCTGCCCTTAACAATATCTCCTTTTTGTTTTATTTACAATATATCAAGAACCCAAACAATTATTTTTTTACAATGATAGGCTTTTCGTAAAGACGATGTTATTGGCTGTTTCTTGGACCTGGGTAATGGAATAATACAATGGTCAAAAAATAACCGCTTATTTGGTCCAGCTTATGAAATTGATAAGAAACTATTAAAGAGTAATGAACCAATTTATCCAGCTGCCTCTTTAGTTGACACTACATTAGAGTTGAATTATGGAGATTTACCATTTAAATATCCACCAGAAGTGAGTAAATGTGTTTTTACAACAACTCACATGACAGAAGTGGTTCTCTGTAAATCATCTTAATTTCTACATTTTCTGTTATGAAATAGGTTATCATTTTATTTGTAAATCCTTATCACAGTAGGCTGGAGTATACGATTTACGTCTCAACAATGCCTTTAGCTTACTAGTAGGCGGTATTGTTAGAAATATACACAAGAATTTATAGGAGATCTCTGATATATTCTGCAATATTAGTATAAAGAAGCTGGATCCAATTAGATTATTTAGACTTTCAGTAAGAATGGATAATTTATGTTAAAAGCATAGTGTACTGGAACACTTCGACAGTTCATCAACCTGCTATATACACTTGTATGAAGTCCGTTTGAAGAATGAATAGTAAACGTTAGAAGGTCAAACTGTTGGAATGCATGATAAATCATAAATGAAATTACCACCTTAGTATAAAAAAGGAAATCTCATACTGAATACGTGCCACAGATGAAGGTCTGATGTAATGATGTACTACATTCTAACAAATGAGTGTTGAAAGTTGTTTTCTCAGACTAAACGGAACTGTTAACTGCTAGCTGTTTGAAGTAAATAAAACCAACTGAAGGATAAATCTATGCAAATATTTTGTGGATACTCTTCCTAATGAAGCATCAGTACAAAATTATTTCACGTAAAGGAGTCGACAAAAATTAAATTCAAATGCTTCATTGAGACCGTCTTGGAAACATCGTAAAAATAATAATTTTTTTTCCACAATGTAAAATCTAGCAACTTAATAGTCTTATAAATATGCTTTTCTAGGACGACTGGACCCCACTGTTTGCAGCTTCAGACGAATGTGTATACGAATCAACGAGATGGCCTAGTCCAGTAAGTGATTCAAAAATTCACTCCATTACTAATTTAAGTGTACAATAAATCATGGCGTAAAATTATTATTTCTGTGATAAAGTTACAGTAGTTGTGTTGTATTCCTGGATGATATTTTATAAATTTACACTAACTTGTCATTTCAAAAAGAGATGAATACAGTAAAAACCTTGATGGTTTATGGAACACCGCAAAGCATGACAATGTATTTGTTAAAATATATTTATTTAACTAATTTCCCCTTTCATATACCTCCTTTCACCAATATTATTGTTTTTCTTTTCAATAAAGAATACAGTCAAACTTAATAGTCATTCAGAGAAGCCTTCGACTACACAGAACTTACAAGTAGAAACGAATTCTCAACTTGGAGAGGGAATGAGTTCAAATTCATCCTACGCTAGAAATCATACTCAGAATAATAATACTACTAATAACAGTAATGACACTAGTAGTAGTCCTAGTAAGATGAATGAAATGCATACGGGAGAAATACGCATCGATTCACCGTCATCAAGTGACCAGCAAGAGGATGAAGTGCGAACAGTAAGTTAGACAGTATTTCTCGATGTTCTTATTTTGATATTAAAAAGGAAAATGAATGGTTTTCTATATGCTAAAATCCTTACCAGAACATGACTGTCGCGTCAGATGACAGAAGTGTAGCGTTCAGGTAACTGAGTCAAAACAGCCGGCCCTGGATGAATTGGTGTTAATTGTTTATCTTGAAACATATAAAAAAGCAAGCGAGTTCATCTTTTCAGTAGAAGTTTAGTTTGCTAAATATCATATAATGAAGAGGGTTTGCTCTCCAAATATGAACAAATTGGCTCGCACATGTCCGTCGTCTGATAGCCAAACTGGTAATCAGTGGACAGTTGTCTCAGCTCTTAAATGACCCGCCACATTGACATGTTTGCCTATCCACGGTCATCCAAAATATTCGTACTTGAAATTAACCACTAATTATTAAGATAAAATTTTCTATGTTTGATTTCAACATCAACTGTTGTTCTTATCCAGTGTGGAAATATATTGACCGGCATCACTACCCCTTGAACACTTACTGTTAGCACACTTACAAAAAGATAACGTCTCCCGTAAAATTATTATACATATGCAAAGTGATTTCGAGTTCATATACTCTAAGTTTCCCCAAGTAACATTTGTGTAGAATTTAACAGCAAAACTAACTTAGACTTTTATTTAAATGACTCCATTCTCAAAATCATCACTATCGGGAATTTGTTAATGAAAGCTAGTTGGTTGATGTGGCCATGGATGTTTGAATGGGCATAGTAAAGGCCTTAGGATCTCAGTAACTTCCTAACATGACAGTTACTCCAACTTTTGTTTTCCTGACTGATGGAGATAGACTTGTTCTTTAAAGCAAGAAAAATGCCAACTTTTCAGAGGCTGAAGGTTTGGCTGACAATATGACTCGCCGAAATTTGTAAAGCAATAATTTTCTACTATCATCCCATCTACATATATGTCTCTTTTTGAGTGATATATATGGTTACAGGTGACCACCAAGAGGCCCTAGACCTAAGCTTTGCGCTTATTACCAAAAGTTAACTGATAGAATTAATCACGCATTAAGAAACGAAAAATCAACCGATATATTTTTCTGATTTCACTCTTAGTTTCTATCAGCATCCACCACTAGGTTTTAAGCTCAGCTTACAATGAGTGATTTTGACAGCGATACAGTCGAACAACTCTTTGTATTTTAAAGGTGAATCATCAGTGAATATATCATGAATTTGATTTGAATAATTTCCCTATTATTCTTACGTTGAAACGTTTCTTCTTATATTAGTAAATAGTCGTCATTTTCTCAACACATCTATTTAGTATGATATAAATAAAGATCATAATTTACAATGTTAATAAATCAGGCCATTTTACCTTAACTGAGTGAAACCAGTTGAGTGACTGGAACTCAGTCAAATAATAATAATAGCAATAATAATGATACCAACTTTTTCGCTAAATTCATTTAATATACCCTTTTTTAATAATTTTTGTTTTAGTTTCTAGAGGCTGGTGACCCACTGACGGAAAATCATTTGGCTTCCCTTTGTAATGCTGCGTACACAACACATGCAACTACGGAACGATTCGAATCAGAAGTATGCCACTGAAATACTTCATATTGCCTTTTTAATTTATTTAGTTACTAAAGAATTATTATGGAATACGCTAATCTTCAAACTTCATTGTTTCTCGACATATGAATCAGGAAATATCTTTGTAGTAAAGCCTTAATAACTAAACGAGTAACTCACTGATATTCGTTTCGCAGTATAGTTATACTAGAGGATTCACTTTTATTCCTTATGTGACACTTCAGTCTACCTTGATATCACAGGATTTTCAGACATCTTTTTAAGTAAGACAGAGTGTGCTAGCTGAGTCTAGAGTTGAAATACCTTATATTTTCCACTGGAAGAAATGAATGTAGATAGGCGACTGATGCAATATCCAGTTACGAGAAGATAAAATCTTATGTACTCCAGTGTTTACATCATCCTGTGGCTCCTTACTACCATCTGTAGTCATTGTCACTGTTATGTCTTTTTTATTTATATAAATTATTTATTGTAACATGTGATGTAACATTTCTATTTTTATCAGACTGAAGTGAAAGGTATTCGTTAGTCTGTAGGCTCCTAGAAGAGGCGGCTCAATAGTACCTTTGGTATTAATTTGGTATTATTTAGTAGGCGCTGGTTAGTAGTAAAATCAAAAATATTCAGTAGGCTAGTTCAGTTTCAGTGAAACATAACTCATCGAGTGGGACTTTATTTAGCTTACAAGTCCTGAAAGAGATGAGGCGGGCATTCTGGATCCCACTGATAGTCATCATCCTCTAAATCCATTTTAGCTTTATTATTCATAAAATATGAGCATTCAGTTATAGGAAATTAAGTGAATCAAATCACAGTTAAAATACTTGTGTTTATTGAGCGTACACTAAATTTGTGGTTACTTGGTCGGTGGAGACTAACTGGTAGAGGAATTCAGAGCGCGTGTTTCGTCGCGTTTTACACTCATCAGTTTACATGTATCTGTCGTCATTGGTACTAAATTTGGTAGTTTATTTGTTCACTCTTTGTGAAGACCTACATCAGTCATACTTTTGTCAGCAGGAGATTTCGTAATGAGACTCCATAACTACAAGTTAGTAGCTGCAAAATTAAAGTAAAAGTTTCGAAAAATTAAATCATTATAAAACTTGCTTGTCTAATTCAAAACCATAAGGTATGCTGGAGTAAATTTAGTGCCCAAACCTTGAATTCATTACAGTGATAAACTTTAGGCTTAACCACAAGCCTGCTACACTAAACAAATCCACGAACTCATCATATTATTTGCTTTGGTGCTGAACAGATTCTTGGTTAGTATGTTGTAAATAATGTACTGAAGTGATGGTTGAAGTTAAAGGGAGTAGACGAACCGCTTAGATTTTTTTATTTCCCAGATCACATTTATTGACTGAGATGTTTAAAGATTTCTCTTTATTAGAACGAACCCTAATATCGTTTAGGAGCGCTCTGTCCCCAAAGACCTTGGCAAGTAAGTCAGGAATCAAACATTGTACAGCTTTTTGATGCTAGTTTTGCATTTTGTACAGGTTAAAACTTAAAATCTTAACATACTGAATTATGAAAACTAGTTGTAAGGTTCATCCTACAGTAGGCATCCATTTCTTAAGTGAGTTGGTAGTAAACTCTCTGACTCCAGTTCGATTCTCGAAGGTTACATGAATTTCCTCTTGCTTGTAGATATGCCTTGCTGATGAGAACCAAAAAGCATACAACCCTGGTTCAAGTCATTTTGTGATCTTGATCTTCTCAACGATCTGAAATGACTCGAAAATAATGAGTCCTACCATAATTTCAATTTGTAGACTTGCTAATAATAAACAAGAATTATAGGAGAAAATTCGAATTTCGAGTTGCTTCACACATACTCATCACTCTGTTATTAGCAATTCAATAAACAAATATATTAGGTTAAGTTGAAAATTAACTGTGTAGCGTTGTAGTTATCAGTTCGATTGATTTTTTTGTCTACATTCGAAGAATAAGTTTGATGCATTGATCTAAACAACCACGGCACAATATGGCAGCTTTATTTCCGTCTGACTTTATCTCTATTTCAAATCAGTTTATTCATTTTGCATGGTAATACAAGTTTGTTTTTCAACTAGTCGTGTTTTATTGAGTCATTTATCGTCTAGAATGCTGAAATCCTTTGGTTAAGAGTAGTTGTATTACTTTTAAGTGTATATTGTACCGTGTCAACATCAATAAAATGTTTTCCTCTTCCAAATTATAGGTAAAAACCAAAGCTAGCGAGACATATCACCGAAATTCTGTGTCACATGTACATGCGGACATTGTAAGTTTTATTACTCCGTCTGTTTTTTTGTACTATTTGTACCTATTAACAATTTATGAGTTTTTGGTATTAGTGGTGTTAAAGTTAGAGTCATACAAATATCATTTTCAATTAAAAAGAAGAAAGGTACATGAACAGACATCTTGGTTTAAATATTACGTTTACTATATCAGTTTGTGTTTCATACGAAATGTGAATGCTTCTATTCAGGTCATAGATTTGCCGAAACTACTCACTCGGATAATTGATACAATAATGTTGTTAAACAACTTATGCTACTGTTTTGTTAGTAAGTAATAAAGCAATTGATTTTCATTCCATCACCAACATTTTCTAACCACTAGGTTACTCCAGTAAACATCAGTCCTGAATGTCGTAACAGCATCACTGCAATGGTGGACTGCGATTTCGTAAGTATACTGACACTAAAAATCTGGCTATCTTAAAAGCTAACAACTACATTGCTTTTATCTTATAGTATCTGCTTTTATTCTTTTTCATCTGACGCCTGGCCAACTTACAGGCCTTATAACCTTCAAATATACAGTATTGAACTATTAATTACTAACATTTATTATGAACGGTAAACGTATAACATAATGAACCATATCAAAACCTTATTTTGTATTTAAGTTTGAAAAAATCATACATTAGTGTGTCGTACAATAAAATGTATGATTGAATACTGACACCAAAAGGTCATTGAAGGGAAATTCACATATTTGTTTCACCAGTGAAATAGCGGGAACTTCGACTGTAAAATATGAAGTACAAACAAACAAAAAACATTGAAAAAGACAGTAATTAACTATGATGAAACTTATAAAAGAAAATAATCCGACTTTAAAATCCCTGAGATACTAGAGTTCCACCTTCTCTACCTAAGTTTTTTTTTTAAGTAGGCAAAGTACAATAAGTTTCATTTCAGTTTTCTGTATTCGCTACAGTTACTTGTCTGAACTGTAACAGATTATGAAACACCAGTTGAAATACATTACTTCGTTTTCACAAAATGTTTTAATAATGACAGTCAGTTTGCTTAGAATAAAGATGCTCTTGGACAATTTCTTTAAAACCTAATAATATCCACCGAGTCTTGTCTAATGTCTTTTGATTTGACAGTCATTCTACTTCATTGCTTTTTTCACAAAATTCTTCTCATAAAACAGATGTTAACTTATTAATCACCAGCTTTAAGAAATTACTCATCAAACCACAGAATTCAATATTGTTTGAGAGCAATGACATTTTGAAGTGGATAGGCTTTCTTAGCTTTGAAAGTCAAAAACAAAACCTCCAGCTAGAACTTAATACCAAAGAAATATTTTGCGATAAAAAACCTGTAGTGTCACTATACAAAACAAAAGCTCACTGGCCTTTATTTTAAGTTTTTGGAACTAATACTACTTGAGAATTGTTGGAAAGTGCTTTGCAATTTATATGATGGAAAATAATATGGATTTCTTTTTGAGTGGTGACCAGAAATAGAATTCAGAACATGCTTTTCATCTGATTTGAGATTCGTCAGCTGCATGCCCTTGCCCACTCAAGCGTGAGCCAAGAACCTACCACTTCAGATCCAAAAGCGTTACCCACTGTGTTTTTGAGCTTTGGAAGTCACTTCTTCTGAAACTGGTATGACTGGATACGAAATCAAAGTATGAGCAAGAAATAAAATAATTCCAGGGAGAATTTTCTCATTTGGCTATAATGTGGGTAAAAATGCAAACTATTTTCTGTCCATTAACTTTTGGTCATCCACTTTTGAACCTCTAATTTTGTAAATGAAAGTTTATGCACCTGCTAACCTACCTTTTATTTAATATATCATTTAGAAATCCAGAATTTTTTCCACAAAAATTATTAGAGTAACTCCAGGTTTAGAAAAATTGCATCCATTCATTCATTCATTCATTTTCCTCGCATTAACTAAATTTATTTTTGACCATTATACTGTCAATATATTTGTATATATAAACTTTAGATTTTTCACTACATGACAATAATTTTTTCATTTCACCTAGGCACTTGAACAGGCCATCTTGCAGACTACACATTTAAATCCACACACAGCAGTTTTAACCAACACAGTGGATGTCAGTACAAACAATAATAACATAACCACAGGATAGTTAACTGGTGTTCCTTGGATTGATTTACGCGTCGTTTTAGAACACAGTCTCACTTTCATGAAACTTATCCTTCAAACAACGAAAAAAGGCAAACTGAATGCGTTCAGTGTCAGGATGATTTATTTATTTTTATAAGATTTTCAAAAGAATGTAATCTGTTTTCCTGCAAATGCTGTCTATGAAAATACTCACTTTAAATGCCTTAATATATATATATATACTTTATTTTTTGCTATCATCTACAGCTGTTATGTCATGCTACATGATCAATAAATAAGTATAAATTAAAAATTATTAGCGGAAGTATTTTTTAAAAATTTCATTGAGGTTTTTTTTAACTGCCTCGATAAGCAGCTGTCCATCTTCTGTTTCCTTACAGTTTTTCACTCACTGCTTCAAAGATTATTGCTTGATGCAATAAAGCTGATTCAAAATGATTTCTACTTGCTCTTACTTCTTTTTTTTTGGCGCTCATAGTACGCGAACAAAATCTAGTTTATTTTTCAGACTAATTAGGTAATCTATGAACTAATTCATGAACATTTATTTGACACCATTCACTTTTATTTGGAGTGAAAAGAAATTTCGTAAAGTGACACATGAGTACATGTATTGGTAAGTGAGTTCATTGTGCAAACATTGTCATTTCCTCCTTTTTATTTTATCTACACAAAAACTGGCGCCTTTTTATTGGTTAACCTCCGAGTTCTGACTTCTTATTGATATATTTCTTTCTTGTGAAAATATCTTTATTTACCTTGTATTTTCACTATCCACTAAAAACCAAATAAAATGGAGGGAAATGGATTAAGAAAAACATCGATTTCAAAGCCTTTCTACTGAATACAACAAATATCTTTCAACAAACCAATGTCATGCTGATTATTTCCATTAAATGCAACCTCTTCTTACCAGTACAAATTCTAATATATTACAAAAAAAAGTAACTGAGCATACTAAAGCATACTCAAGCGTAAGAATAACTTTGCGCTGTATCAATCCACCTCTCATATTACAAGTGACTTTTTTGAATGAGTGAACATGTTTGTGGTACGCCCACTTTCAAGTGTACACTGTTACCATTTTTTTTCAAATTCCTCTTGATTCTTATCACCTAAATCAAACAATAACTACTTATACAACGAAAGCCAGTTGAACTTATTTTACGACTGCTTTTACCAGCATTCTTGCTTTCATATTGTGGTACTGAATTTCTGAATTATAATGAAATTGCTTTGGTTCCCCCAATCTATTTCTTGCTTCTTCTATTAATTTGTTCACCTTCATTATAAAAAAATGTTTGTTTGTTATATCTTTTTTCAGAAAGGTTTCACAATTTTTTAACACCTAAAGGCAACAATATACTTCGCAGTAATAAACTGTTGGAGAGTATGTGAACAGTACTAATAAGCATATGATAATGTATATCCTTTCTATGGAATTGATTTCGTTTTATAATCGTATCTTCTTCTTCTTCTTGTTCCTCATTTTGACTAAAGCCCAGGAATCAATGCGACTCATCGAATTAAATACAAAAAATGTCCACTAACTATATTTTTGCGAAACATATTATACTACTTTTAAGTAGTAGTGATTTTATTGCAGTTTTTGATCGGTTTAAGTGAAACAGATGTGAACCCAAGAATGCAGCAGTGTATAGTTTGTAAGCGTTGCTAGGAAAAGTTTAAATAAATGAATATCAAAACAAACTTAGTTTTAGTTTGCTTCTCAACATAATAGGATATCAAAATATGTAAGAACATGTAGTGAATCACGAAATATACCTATAAGTATCACAAAATTGTTACACGTGAAGAAATTAAGCTTGAGTTTTCTCTCCGACAATTTGCTGTCCCTAAGTCCCCTATTCTAGCTATAACCGATTTTCATAACGAAGTCTTCTAAGCTTACGCAGGTATGTAGCACTTGTGTCACTTTTACTAAGAAAAGATAAATTCAAAATACTGAGAGAGAGAAAAAGCTCCAATAGATTACTTACCTAGAGGGATAAATAAAAATTGTCCAACAGATAACACAATATTATACAGTGTGTCTAGTGAGAAACTTCAAAGATATGATACAGAATCGGTTGAAAAACCACTAAATTTCACAGTAAAACAAACTCCCGGACGTTATTGTTCTGTAGGCTCAATATTTCACGCGGTGAAATGTTCCACAGAATTCACTTACAATTTTTTTAAAACATGCTCGGATCATTTTAAATAAATTCATAGTGATTCATTTGATTTCAGTGTCCCATCTACTTTTGGGTATCTGAAACATATTCAGCCTGGACGTCCATTCACAATATTTTGATTTTTAATTTCCTTGAAGATGGTTTGCAATTAATTACTTCTCTGCAGACCTGAAATTTCCATATCAAAAAAAGTTGCCTACACTCAACTCACTCCTAAGTGTCTCTGATAAGGTTAGCAGCTGACGATATAACTGATGTTTAACACTTAGAAACATCTATGCAACTAAATTGGAAGACTGTAAGTCCTACACGTAGTTAATCATAAGGCCTAAAAGTTACAAATAACGGATGGATACATTTTCCTGGTAGGCTATTATGATTCCATAGGATAGTCAGGCTTAAATTTACCCTAATTTTTTTCAATTTAAAAAAGCAGTCTCAGTTCAACAGTGATTGTATACATATCACCTTAGATTATAGCAGTCCTATGGTTAATGACACTAAACGTGCTTAGGACATAAGGCTAGGACGACATAACCATTGAAAGATTTTGTTGTTGATGATAATCAGCCTACTGAAAGTATGACTCTGTTTTGTTGTTAAAATCAATGTAAGATTCGTTAAGTCTTATCTCCGCTTAACAATTAGAAATTATGATCTATTCGATTTCAGCTCAGTTGCTGAAACGCTTTTCTCTTAATCTCAATAAGTTTTAGGGAGCTGTTCATCGTTCCTTTTATTTCCACTTTATCTCAGTACTTAACATTTAAAATCAACTGGATATTTACAAATTAATATCTAAATACTACGAACGCCTACTTAGTTACACAATATTATGAGTTCTTGGTTCGGATTTGACTGGACATTTAGAGGAAAAACAGCAGACTATAGTATGTGCATTAGTTTATAATAATAATTTGTTTTTATCTAAGAAATAATCTGCATTTGAAACTCCGATGGAGTGTGTAATGTGTGATGCATTACCGTTAGACACAGCGCTTAATTCGAGATTCATGTTCTAAGTAGTTGGATAAACAGTTTGAGACGAAGATCATAAATTTAATTGAGCTAGTCAAATATAGATATGACGTACGCCTACAAATTGCTGATTGTAAGTCGAATATTTAAAACCCACTTTATCCATGCTTCCGTACAGTTAACTTTATTCAAATTTGGTTTTATTAATTTGACACTATGGAAACTAAATTCTGAGAAATAAATAATTGTAACGTCTCATTTGCCTCCTAGTATCATGAAATCACAAATTCTTATCGACCCAAACCGAACTTACACCATCAAATAAAACATATTTTTCATTTCTTTCCTTACTCGGTAATCAATTTTTCCTCCTATCAGCTTGGTGGATCAAACAAACCATCCTAACATGTTATATTTCATAAGCTTCACGATCAGAAGATGAACTTCTACCCAATCCCTATTCTTTTAACAAAAGCCTTTGTGAAGTAATATGAAACATTCATAGTTCTGATGAAATAGTGTAACGTCAAAACATAGGACTGGATGGTAACTGAATATATTATTATTGTTCCCTTGGGTTCCTAGTGGAACACACGGCTTCAACTACACTCCTCCACTTACCACTTCTGTCTTCCTTCTCCTGTACTTTTCACCTCCATCCATCTGAGTCCATACTCTTCAACTCCTCTTCACACCATCTCCTCCATGTCACCCACACTCCCACTGACATCCCACTCACCGCGTGCTTCCCTTTCGGCCTGGTTCCACTCGAGAAATGGCCTCACGCGCGCACCCAATGTCACCCAGCCGCCTACAGCCTCAGCGAGCGAATGTCCAATCCATCTCAACATCTCCATCTCCTGAATATTTCTCGGTTGGCGATTGGTTCTTTCCCGTTGGTTTGTTCACAGCCACAGTTTCTTGTTGGTGATTCTCTCCGGCCATCTCCGCCCATCTGATTGATCTTCAGTATAGAGCCAGCGAAGACAGTTGTTGGTTGATAAGAGTAACCTCTCCAACAGGCTGTTGGAAATATTCTTTGTGACCCGCCCGCCAGCCCACCAAGTTTCTCATCCGATCCGTATAGAAGAAGTGACTGACTGGCTGACTGACTGGCTGACTTGACGTTGTTTGTATTGAAAATCCGACCGAATTTCGTTGTTGATGCTGGCTGAGTGACGAAGATTTTTTTCCAGATTGGTTGTTTCAGGTTGATGAGTGAATGTGTTTCTCGCTCGCCTTCCCGATTCTCGCTCCATTTCACATCCTCGTCCGTTCCGACTGGCTGTAGTCGAGAGAATGCTCTCTACCTAGATAAGTGAGTGAATGAAGTAATCTCTTTCAAATCCCTCCCGTTGATGTTGATTGGCGCTGAATGTTGCTTCTGCTGTTGTTGTTGTTGTTGTCGGTTGGTTGGTGCGTCCTGGTAACTGAATGGTTATTTGCAATTTGACACACACAAACAATCGTAGGAGAAATGAAATCGTCATTTGCACAGATATTCGGTATTCTGTCATTCATTTTGTGTTTTTTGTCTTCTGTTTTTGTCTCCCTTGCTTGGTCTCAACACTGGATTATTTCTTCTCTTTGATGTTGAAACTATCTTCCTGCTATTTGATATTTTGTACCAGTGAACGTCTCTTTATCTACTACTGATAAGTCTTGTGAGTAGCATACACCTAATTTATTTTAGAGGTGACAGAAATACCATAATGTATACACAAATAATTTTGAATTTTGGACATCGGCTTTAATATACTTGACGAAGGAAAAGCAAGCTGTATTTAAGTGGACAGTTCTGTTATTATTATTATTAATATTGTTATTATTGCCATTATTATAGTGATTGTTTAGTACAGAATTGTTGTAAATTATGCATATAGCATAAGCTGTTGTGTCTTTATGAACACAGGGAACGAATTCATATATGAAATATTGGAAGAATGTGGCGTGTAGATAACATTTCAATATTATTATTATTAACACTTAGCATAATTTGCAAATTTGACGAAAATTTTCATGTTTTGGTAATATTTTGTATACTATTCATCTACCAACATCCTGAAAAATAAAACTGTGTAGCATGTGATTAGCTGTTTTATTTGTACTATCAATATTCACCGATAACTACATTTTATGTAATTGTTTTGCTCTATGACAGTAAGTTATTTTGTTATATATATATATATATATGATACCGGTGTAACTGCCACATTCAGCAGTGTTACCATTTTGTAAATAATCGAGGTATGTATGACTCTGAATATAAAATGAAGAATTCTGAGTTCAGCAGTTTATTTATACATGTGAGTATGCTGAAATCAATAAAATATCACCCATCACCAGTTCCCTTATCCTATTTTCATCCTTATGACAACAGAGTAAACTAGTGAAAACTATTTCAGATGAAAGACCTGTGGTCTAAACAAATTTTAAGGACTAAAAAACAATTTACAGAGTCCAACCCATCATGTCATCCTGTTCTAACCCATTTTTGACCGTATGCATCCACCGCCATCAACAATACCAACAACGGAAGCAGGTCTACCAGTGAACATCGAACCCACGACGAAATCAGAAGTCCTGAATGCAATCGAGATACTAAAAGCTGGAAAAGCAGCAGGACCAGATGGAATCCCAGTAGAAGCATTGAAAATGGACCCAGAGACAATAGCGGACTTGATGACGCCATAAATGGCGTAGCTGTGGAAAGTGGGCAAGGTACCTGAGGATTGGAAGAAAGCATACTTATTCAAACTACAAAAGAAGGGAGACTTAAGTCAATGCAGAAACTGGCGCGAAATTATGCTCCTGTCCATTCCAAGCAAAATACTAAGCCGCATCATCCTGGAGAGAATTAAACACGCCAACCTGGATGAAAAACTTCGACCGGAACAGGCTGAATTCATGAGAAAGAAGTAATGTATTAATCAAATCGCCACTCTACGGATCATCACTGAACAAAGCTTAGAATGGCGGTCAGCTCTCTATCTCAACTTCGTCGACTTTGAAAAGGCCTTCGATGGCTCAGCGTCGATCGAGAGGTCATTTGGTAACCACTTCGCTACTACGGGGTCCCATCGACAATTATACATCTCATCCAACAGTTATACGACAATGCTGGATGCCAAGTAATCCACAACGGGAAACTCACGGAAGCCTTCGAAGTGAGGACGGGAGTGAGGCAAGCTGACTGTCTACTATCGCCAATGATTTTCCTGATTGCATTAGATTGGATAATGCGACAGACAACGGGCAATGAGGAAACAGGCATAAAATGGACTCACACAAAGAACTTGGAGGATCTGGACTTCACCGAAGATGACATATGTCTGATTTCCCACAAACTGGAAGATATGCAAGTGAAAAGCAATAAGTTGGCAGAAGAAGCATCCAGATAAGATAGAACTTCAAGTGAACATAGAGAAAACAGATGTGGTGAAGATTCCTGGCCAACAACAACAGACGACAGTCAGCATAAATGGGAGGAACCTGAAAGAAACAACCTCCTTCACCTACCTGGGAAGCATCGTTTCAACTACAGGCCGACGGAGCTGACGAGGATATCAAAGCCAGAATCGGAAAAGCAAGACAAGCTTTCATTACTCTCAAGTCTGTGTGGACGTCGACCGCACTCAGCATCAAAAATAAGGTCCGGATTTTCAACTCCAATGTGCTACTATACGGATCAGAGACTTGGCGAGTCATAAACAGCACCTCAAACAAACTTCAGACGTTCATCAACAGTTGTCCTCACTCAATACTCAAGATCAGATGGCTAGCCAGAAAAGATCAGAAACAGGGATCTCTGGGAGCGAGCCCACCAGGAACCGATTGTGCAACAAATAAGCAGGAAGAAATGGAGATGGATTGGCCATACTCTCAGAAAACAGACCGTCAAGTGACATCACTTGACAGGCCATTGCTCGAGTGGAACCCGAAAGGGAAGCGGCGAGTTGGTCGTCATTGCGGGGGTGACTTGGAGGAGATGAAAGCATGTGGGCAGACTTGGAGTCAGGTGAAAACTCTAGCGGAGAACAGAACGCAATGGAGACGCGCGGCTGAAGCCCTATGTTCCTCTAGGAATTAAAGGAAATAATAATTAGAATGTAATTTCTTATTT